TATCCATTCCATGTCATCACACAGAACATTTCATCAGCCTTTTTTTAAATAGCTGTGTGGTATTCTATTGTATTGCGCAGCGTTTGTTCATCATCTACTACGCTGAGTGCTGGGGTAAAAATGATGAATCCGAACAGGCCCTGCCTTCAGGGAGATACAGGCTCAGGGTGAACAGCCAACAATTAGGATGAAGTATCACAGGTGTAGTATCAATTAGGTGAAGTATCACACTCAAATATTTATTGAGTCTCAGCCACTTGTCAGGCATTGCTCTGGGCCCAGGGGAGACAACAGTGAACAAAGTGATGAGAATCGCTGCCCGGGGCGCTCCTATCCTGGTGGAACTGCTGTGGGGGCACCTGGCGGCCCCGACCTGGTCCAGGGTGGGGGAAGCCTTCCTGGAGGAAACGAGGTTTGAGCTGATCATTAACAGCTAAGGGGGAATGAGCCGGGGGCGGGGGGCAGTGTGCCAACAGAGGTCCCGCGGCCGGCGCAGGAGGTGAGAGGCATTCCTGGGGGCTGAGAGAGGTTCCTCTGCTTGTAGCACTGTGGGAGGCTGTGGCCAGAGCTGAGCCTGGGGAGCAGGCAGTGGTGAAGGCCTTGTGGACCACGGAAGGATTTTGTCCTTGTGGACAACGCTTGGATGGCTGCCATGCAGAGTGCCTAGGAAAGGGACAAGAGGGCAGGCAGGAGGCCTGTGGGAGGGCGGACTGTGGTCTAGGCAAGGCCTGCAGGCCGGCTGGACCAGGTGGAGCAGAGGGTAGGGGAGAAGGGACTGGATTCAAGAGAATGGCGAGGTGGTGTTGACAGGACTTGTGGGACTGAAGGAGAGGGAGAGGAGGCCTCTCATCTGAAATACGAGCCGAATGCCCTCCTCCCTGGGCTCTTCTGGGGCCTCCCAGGTGCAAGTTAGGCTCTCAGCAATCTCACTGTCCCTCCCCCCCCGGCCCCAGCACCCCTTTACCTGTGTTTTTGCTCTCCTCCAATCTTAGGAGCTTCTTTATAATTTTCTGTACTTCAACACGGGAAACCTACTGTCTGACCTTCTAAGTCTCTGCGTGCCTCTCCAGTACACACACACGCACACACACACACACACACACACTACATACACACACACAACAGACACGCACACACACACCACACCACACATACACCGCAGACACATACACACACCACACCACAGACACATATACACACACACCACAGACACATATACACACACCACACACCACACACACACCACACACACATACACACACACCACACACACATACACACATCACACACAGACCACACACACATACAGACACACACCACAGACACATATACACACACCACACTCACACACATACGCACACACCACACACACACCACAGACACATACACACACACCACACACACATACACACCACACACAGACCACAGACACATACACACACCACAGACACATACACACACATCACACACACACCACAGACACATACACACACACCACACACACACACCACAGGCACATACACACACATCACACACACACACCACACACACCAGACACATACACACACATCACACACACACCACAGACACATACACACACACAAGCAAACCACACACACAAACACCCCATACCTCACAGACACACACCCGGAGTCCTGCTACAGCCCATTGCCTGCTACTTGAACTAAACTTCCCGCCTAGCCTGGTCCTCTTCCCACCCCAGTGCCGGCCCCAGCACACAACCTACAGGGAGCCTCCGGGTGTGGGGTGTGTACACAGCACACATGTCCTCATGTCCTTAGCCGGCTGTCACAGCTGGGCCTGCCGTGCATGACTATTAGTTTTGGGTGTCGCTGCTGGCATGGCTGTCCTGTGGCCACCACTGGACTGCACGCTCCCTCCTGGGAACAACACCGCATTGTGGCGCCTGGCATGTCCCTCACTCTGCTAGGAGTTGGCTGTGGCTGTGGACGGGGCAGTGAGGGAAGCTCTGCTGAGGGGGAGAAACAGCAGAAAAAGTTAGCATTTCTGCAAACTCCCTTGGGCCGCTGGGCCCGCCCAGATTTATTTGGTGATAAGATTGGGCTTTGTTTTTTCCCCAAGCCCCAAGGGTGTGTGCTACCTGGAGCCCTGGCCTGGCTCCTCTCTCTTATCCATTAGCAGCCTGGAGCTGCCCCCCAGAGCCCGGCTGTGGCGGCGGCAGAGCAGCCTGGGCCAGAGCTGTCTTGTCAAGCCGGGTCCTCTTCTCTGAAGGCATGGCTGCCCCATCTCATCCAGGCTCCAGTGGGCTCCACCCAGCTGGAGTCACAGCCCCAAATGCCGCCTCCCTCTGCCAATACCTGCCCCTACTGGTGGGTACCGAGGGCCGGCCTCAGACTCAGGAGTGGGGTGCGGGGCTGGCACGGGCGCCAGTCTGCAGTTTGTCAGCTCAGCTCCCTCTGCCCTGGGGACTGGTCGGTGTGTCCCCTAGGCATGCTAGGAGGGATGCTGTGGGCCCTCAGGCTCCCTTTCTCCACGCCTCACCCCCGACCCCGCACCGTGGGACATTCTGTCCTGGCTCCTGACTCCGGGGAGATGCAAAATGCGCGGTTTGGGCCTGGAGTTGAATCTCCACGTTGCTCTTGCAAAGGCAGATGTTTTAACTTTAGCTGCAGTGTGTCTGCAGGCCAAGTGGGCCTGGCAGGGGCTCCATCATTCTGGAGGGCACTGAACACACAGTTGCGTCCTCAGGGACGGCTTCATGGGTGTCTGCAGCCTGCACTCAGAGGGACCCTGTGTTTGGTTTAATGATCCACTATTGCTGTCTTGAAATTCTTAATAATTTTTGAACAAGGGGCTGAGCATTTTCATCTTGCACTGGGCCCCACTAGTTACATATCTGGTCCTATTTTACTTTTTGTTGTCTTCCCTTTAGTATCTTTTGAATTTTGAACTATGGAGACATGTTTGTTTCTTTTTTTTTTAATTTAATAAGGAAGTACCACAAAGGATAAAAACAAAGAAGGACATACTTATCACTTGTTGCACACATTTAGAAACGATCTGTATGCCCATTACAGTGCACAAGCTGCTGCGTACACATCCATACTCCAGACGTCCAGTCCACAGTCCCATGACTCCCAGGAGAGCCCGCGGGACGTGCAGAATGACACCCCCACGGAGCACAGAGACAGAGGTGTGCTCCGGGCCACCTGCTCCCCTGCCAGGGCCATGCTGCCACCCAGGACGAGCCTGTTCTATTCCACAGAAGGGGCTCCCCAAACTCCCTTGCTAACCCCCCATTCCCCTCCCTCGAGGGCATCTGCACAGTCAGTAGACACTCGACACTCGGGAGTCAGAGGCTGACATCCCAGGCCCGCCTGAAGCCCAGGGAGGGGCACTTCTGCGCGGACAGGCGGCTTCTGTGGTGAGCATGCTCGTGGCCGGAGGACCCTGGAGGTGATCTTGTCCGCCCCCTTCAGGCGGGGCCCTGTCTGTGCTATCTGTAGCCAGAAGAAAAAGATGACCGCCTCCGAGTCCGCAGGGCCAGAGAATCCACGAGCTCTCCGGGCCCTTCGTTCTAGTATCTGTCACCGGTAAGGATTCCTTGCCTGAATCACTGATGTTGCAGTTTTCGCCCGTTTCTTACTAGGCTTAAGAAATGGGGATTCTCCTGCCTCTCAGATCTGGAAGCGCTGAACGTGCCCGGAGCCGGCGACCAAGCTTTGAGCATCAGGGCAAGAAAGCGCAGCGGCTTAGGTGCACGGAGCGGCTCCTTTCGGCTCCACCTGGAAGAGAAAGAGCACTGCTGCCCTCTGGCGGCCAGTCGGCAGAGGCTCAAGGAGCCGTTCAGGAGGCGGGGTCCTCTTGCTTGTGCCTGGGACGGCGGCTTTGAGTCCTTAGGTAAACGTGTGTCCTTTCACTGTTCCTGGAATACAGCACGCTTGTCCTCGCCTCAGGGCCTTGGCTGCTCCCTCTCCCTGGAATGCTCTTCGTCCAGATCTCAGGTGCAGCCACCTTCTCATTCTCTAGCCCTCAGGCTAAATGTCACCTCCTCAGGGAAGCCCTCCTGGACCACGTTGTCTGAAACAGCACCCAACCCCACCTCCATCCCTTTCTAGCCCATTACCTTGTTTCATTTTGTTCAACCCTTACCTGCTATGTGAAAATACCTGTTTAAATTCTGTGTCTGTTGCCTCTCTCCCTCACCAGACTGTTGGGTCAAGGAGCATAGTCCTTGTCTGTTTCATCTGTCACTGAACCTCAGTGCATCATACATAGTAGACACTCAAAAATACTTGTTGAAGGAATAAATAAATGCACATCAACGAGAGCAACTGAGATTTCAGCAGAGCTTCTGGTCCTCAAAACCACACTCTTGGTGTGGGCAGGGCACACATCACCCCCATTTGACAGATGAACAAGCTGAGGCTCAGAGAAATTTACAGGCGCTGCCTGAGCATCCAGCAAGGGGGAGTGAACCAGTCCCCGGTGGCTTTTCCTGGGCTCCCTCAGTCCTGTACTCTGGAGGGGGCTGAGGGGTGTCCCAGGCCTGAACAGCTGCTGCCAGGGGTTGAGGCAGGCCCTCACGTGGGGTCCAGACACTCACTCCCTGGCCCTGGTTGCTGAGGGAGGCTGAGCTATCCAAAGCCGTGCTGTGATTTTGGAGTGTGTAGTGGCCTGGGTGAGGAAGGCCAGTCCACAGGACGATGTAACAGGACTCCAGAGACAGTGGCCTGTCTGTCTGCAGAGACGTGTGTTCTGGAGCAGGAGTGTGTTTGGGGAGGGCGGGCGGGAGGAAGGCTGGAGCCAGCCAGGGAGTCGACTCTTCCAGGGCCAGGATCTGGCTGTGACATTCTGGGTTTCATGCGGACCCCTGAGGGGCCAGCCTGTCCTCACTGCACTCAGCCTGAGGCAGGGCTGCCCTCTGTTTCTGGGACCAGCAGAGAGGGGATCAAGGGCCCTGCCGGAGAGCCAGGCCTCCTGGCTGAGCTCGGGCCGGCGGTGGGGCTGGTGGGGAACCGAGGGCGTCTGGAAGGTCAGCAGCATTTACTCCTGTTCTGGTCTTCTGGTGAGAGCTTGATGGAGTCTGTGAGGTAATTCTCTATGATGCTTCGGTACTGGAGAAGGAGGAGAGAAGTCAGCGTACACATCCTCAGAGGCGAAGAGCACACCTGCCCTATGTTTCTTAATGGCCAGTTGTGGTTGGGCTTTCTGCTCCCTCCCCGTTGTGCCGGCGGGAAACTGAGGCCCAGAGGGGGAAGCACCGGTCTTCCCCACCCCCTCCTTCTTTGCCTCCTCCTCCAGCCTCTTCCAGGAGCCCAGAGCAGTTAGGGGCCGCGTGAGGGGCCCAGGTCACCTGATCTCCAACCAGGACCCGTAAATTTCCATTCTCCAGAGGGGACAACTGAGGTGACGTTTGACCTCAGCAGAGATGATGACAGCCCACTCCTCATCTCTGCTGGAGACCTCTCCCAGCAAACATCCCCATACCCCAAACTTCCCTCACCATGACCACCCCCATTCCCCACCCCACCCCGGCACCTGGAGAAGCCCAGTCGGTCCTCCATCCTCCCCATGTCCAGGGAGTGCTCCCTACAGTAGACTCCATGTTTCTACTGGGCCTTTTTGCTTCTCTGGCCACCCTCCCAACTCTCCTGTCCCAACAAGGTCCAGGGAAGGCTCCTTCTCAGTCTGAAAAGCCTCTCTCCACCCGGCTGGGCCACTTCTCACCTGGGACCCACCCTGCCTGGTTCAGGGGAGAGCTTGGGGTGGGGGAGGTGGTCCTTCCTCTAGGAGGTGGGTTCTACCTGCTCAAGGGTCTCTTCTTAAGGGGATCCCCTTTCTTTACTCTGCCGCGGCTCTCTGCAGGCACCGAGCTCCCAGCACTCATGTTCCTCCCACAGCTGGTACTGTGTGTGTGCGGGTGAGTGAGCAAGCAGGTGTGCCCTAACTCTGCGTGAGTGGCTCACGATACATTGGTGTGGACCTGAGCAGGGCAGAGCCTCCTGTGGGGCAGGTGAAACTGTGCCTGGTGGTCTGCCTCTCTGAGGGGACAACATCTAGGATAGCAGTCATGCCTTCTCTCCAGCTAATTGTCGTTAAAATCCTGATGTTTCTGAACCTCCCAGTGAGGCACGAGGAAGAGCAGAGCATCACTATTTAAGTCCATTTTCACACCAACTGACCCATCTCTCCCAGCGAGGCGGGTTTTGAAAGGATTCTCTTACTGTTCGGCACTTTCTGGGTCCCTCTTCCATCATGAAAGCCAAGGAGATCTTGGCTGGGGTCAGGAGCCTTCCTAACTGGGACTTTGGACTCAGAGGGCAGGGCGTGTTGGTTCCTCACCCTGAGTATGCCCCACCCTCACATCCACGCAAGGCCCTGCTGGGCCCCAGAGCCCCACATGAACAGAAACCTGTGCCGCTGTCCATGCGCCGGCCTTCGAGGAGGGAGATGCTGAGTGCCCGGCGCGGCTGCAGGGCTGTCTGGGCTCCTTTGACTTTATTCTGGGAACAAAGGCCATGCTGCCTCGGGAAGGTGTGAGAAACTTCCTCACTCATTACACCGGCAAAGCAGAGGTCTTCACACCAGTTCTCTTCACCAATAATAGTCACACCCTCCCCAGGTCCAGGGCAACCCTGAGCGCTTCCCATTTACAACAGCATTTCACTCAATAATGGCATCATCTTGCTTCTCCAATTTCCTGCAAAACTTCCAAGCAGCCAGCAGGCCATGATTAGGTTTCCCGTGTAGTTTTTTTCTCGAGGCCCTGGTCCTCTTGGCAATGTGTGCGTCTAACTGTAAAGTAACACCACAGCGTGCTAATGCACGCGCCATTTCAGTGAGGGTGTGATCGTGGATTCTGTCCCTCTGAGTCTGGTCACCTCTGTGGCCCTGCCTTTAGGTCCTGCGTCCTGAGGACCTCGTAAAGGTCCTATAACTTTACCAAACTTACCTGCTAGCCAGCCTGCTTCCCTCCCGGACATGGTAATTTGTCTTTCTCCAATTAACCCAAAACGACCTGGGCCTCCATGCTGCAGCTCACGCCCCTGGAGCTGGGCCGGACCAGCCCCAGCAGGGGTGGTATTGCCAACTTGGGAAGAGCAAATCCCATCATCCCAAATCCCCCCAAACAGGTGGGTGTCCCTTCTTTGAGTATGAGGGCATTCTTAATCATATTTTGGAATAATTAAACACCTCATCTTGAAAGTGGCTAGATTGGGACACTGCAGTCACTCCCTACCTTCTTTCCTCTCAGAATGTTAACGAGTACGTACCTGTCGGGGGCGCTACTCGCAGATCGCTCTTTCCATCCAGAGCTCACCGCAGAACTCAGACATTTCAAGGAGCCTCGAACGCCATGTGCGCCAGTGGACGGCATTACCCCCTCCTTCTGTGACACTCCTGCTTTCCCTCCCTTCTCTGTCTTGGTCCAGAGCAGCACTGATCAATCGTCTCTCAATCTGTCAAGCTAGAAACCTTGTCCTCAACCTAAACAGCTCCTGATTCCTTCTCCTACACTGAACCATTATCAAACCCTGACGGTTCTCCCTCCAAAGTCGCTTTAATCCACCGTTTTTGCCATCTGCATCCTCTCAGGCCTGGACCATTGCACTACCTTCTTAACCACCCCAAAAGCCCAGCCTCTCTGCAGCCTGAAACTCCCCTGCTGAAAACCCTCATACATAGCTCCCGTTTTAAAATAGCTCCCATCTTTTATTTAATGCCTTCTCTGTGCTACGATACTATGTTATTTAACCCTCGCAGCAACCCCATGGGGAAGATATTATTTTAAAGAGAGGGGAGTGGTGGCTTCGGAGGCAGCAGGACTTGCTCAAGGACACAGCGAGGAAGAGGCAGAGCCAGGATTTAAAGCCAGATCTACGTGGCTTCAGAGCCCCAGCTCTGCCCGTGCCAGACGGGGGCTCCCCTCCTGTGACAGCAGCGCCTCTCACCTCTTCCTGCCCAAACACTCTGGGCTGGTGGGAATGAGCACACGACCTCCCCGGGAAGGTGGGGAGAGGTCTTGGTAGGAAATGTCTTTGAAAACTCTTGTTTGACTTTAAAATACAGTTTTGCAAACTCTAGTTTCACCTTAAAAATCCAGGTGAGTTTTACATTCTATACCCTAGTAAATGTGTTTGTTTAATGTGAAAATGTTTCTCCTCCAAATTTCTGAGTAATATAGACATTGCAGAAAGACATGCTCTGTCGGGCTTCAAGGTCCGGGGTGAGCCCCTGTGTGCCCTGGGGGGTCTAGCAGCACAGGCTGGAAAGCATAGACCTTTGGCATGCAGTCCAAAGTCCTGGCGGGGGCTCACTAGGCCTTCGTGATCTGGCGCCGTTGACCTCGCAGGCATCATCGCTCACCACGGCCCGTGCCCCCGCTTCCCTTCATGCCACATTTCTTGGTCTTACAGACAGAACCCACAGCTGCTTCCTCACATGAGCCCTGTGGATTCAAGCCTGGGCATCTGGCTGTGCCCTTCTCTCTGCCCTTCTGCTACTCCTGCTCACACCCCCGGTGGCCTACCATGTCCACCTGCAAATGGCGCATTGTCTTTCAACATCCAACTCACATGCTGCTTCTCTGGGTGGGCATCTGGCCCACCCTCACCACCAGCTGCCTCTGAGTCACCTCGGTGCCTTGACCGTGCTCCCCGTGCCGATTACCTCACTGCATGACAATCTCTTTGTGAATGTCTTGCTCCTCTACGTGACCTTGGGACCACTGAGGTCCGTATCTCCAGCCCTAGCCTGACAACTCAAGAAATGTTTATGGGATTGAATTATTCCTGCTTTATAGGTAAGGGAAGTGAGGATCAGAAAAGTCACATGTCTTGCCCAGGAATTCACTCGAAAGCACTCAGGCAGGCAGGATTGAAATCCAGGTCAGTCTGACTGTGGACACCACACCTGCGTCTTCCAGACTGCTCACGAGTAAATTTCCCCCATCCACGTGAGGGACTGACGCGAGGCTTTTCCATTCTCTTGCGAAGTAAGGATGTTAAAAAAAACCAAAACAAGCAGACAAGCTACCATCTACTAACACCAGCGTGGAATAAAAGTGACACAGCAGGAAGGACATACTTTCAAGAATAAAGGACAGTCCTTCTCCAGAAAGGACAGATGCTAACCACACACAGATACTGGCTGTGGGCTGACGGCCGCTTCCCTGTGACCAAGCATTTGGCGATCATTGCACTGTGTTTATTGGGGATCATTCATCACCTATCACCATACAAGGTCAAACAGCCTTCCTCAGCCTTCCAAGGGGACAGCAGGAGCAGGCACAGCGGTATTTTAGGAGCCAAATTGACTGGCTCTGTAATAGGGCCATGCTTCTTGACCATGCGCTAGAGATGGACAACATCTGCTTTCTTTCACACAAGACAGCGGGGGCTGGGGCGGGGAGGGGAAGCATAAGGGCAGCCTGTGGGGGCACCCCTGAGATTAAGCTCTGAGGTGTAAGGATGGCAAGCTCGAGCCTTCTCCCTGGGCAGCCGCTAGAGGTGTCTGCTGCCTCTCTCCATTGTGGACACCCCCAGGCTGGGCCCTGGAGCACTTCTCTACGGGGCAGCTGGCTGCGCCAGGCCAGCCGGGCCGGTCGCCTGTGATGATGGCAAGCACGTCCACACAGGGGAAGTCGCCAATCTCCCATCCTCATTTGCTCATTTTGTCAATTCAAAATCATTGCCACGATGACCTTGTCCCCTCTTCTAAGAAGCCCACCTTGATCAGATGCAGCAGAATGAGAAACAAGCTGAGCCCCTCCTCGGGTAATCTCTCAGGGACTCTCGAGTCTCCAAACCCCACATCAGAAAACCCTGCTCCTGCTTCCAGGCAGCCTTCCCGGAGCTTCCTCCTCTCTCTGCTCCCTCCTGCCCCACAGTGCGGCTGTGTGCCCCTGCTCTGGGCCCCTCACCTCGTCCTTCACCACCATGCAATTACTGTCCACAACCACGCCTGTGCTCTGTCTTCCTCACAAGGGCGAGGGGCCCGGCACACACGGCACACTCACGGCACGCTGTTGAATGCTCACACCAAGGGGTCTAGAGGATGCGGAAGGATGTCAGCCGCCCCTGCAGGCTGACTATCCCACTGGACAAGCGCCTGGCACCAGGGGGTCTCCCGCTCTCCCACCAAGGAGGATTGAACCAGGTCGTCACCTCTTAAACCCTTGCTAAACTAGAATCTCCAGGGGTGAGGTACAGGACAGTATGTGTTATAAACTCCACAAATGATTAGAAACAGTATGTGTTAGAAACTCCACGGCCAGATTGAGGGACCAACGACTCTGTACTCTCAGCTTTACTGGGGTACTGTTGAGCCCAGTCAGCAACTAATTAATTAAGACGATGAGCAATCCTGCCCCACCCGCATCCCTACCTGTTCTCGAGACGGTCTTTTCTGGAAGCTCCTGAGTTCCCCCATCCTAGAGGGCAGCCCTGGTACTGCCACTATAGCCACTCACCCTCGACAGAGCCCGACTGGCCAGCATCTCAAAGGCTTGTACCACATTGATGTCATTCTTGGCACTGACTTCAAAATAGGGAATATCCTTCTCTTTACACCAGCCTTGGGCTACCTCCCGTGGCACCTGAATGAGGGGAAGAGATAATCACTGTTGCTGTATCATCATCCTCGCCATCCCCACTATTGTCATGTCCCCATCATCATTATCACCACCATGTCCCCACCACCACTCCCATTTATTGAGAACCTTCCATGTGTCTGTAACTTTACACATTATTTTTTAACATAAATCTACGAGGTGGCTATTTTAGCTCCATTTTACAGATGAGGAAACTGAGGACTAGAGAATTAAAAAATTTGCTCAAAGTGTGTGGGGCTGAGCAGGATTTGAACACAGGCCTGGCAGAATTAGAGCCCACTGCACGTAAGGTCTACACAAGGAGATTCTTCCTGCCATTGGTTCCTTCCCCAGTCCCTTCGAAGGGAGATGGACATGACAGACACTAGCCAGAGAGGGGGACTTCCTTCTCCTGAGCTGGCTGACCAGGTCCACACCCAAGAGGCCTGTTGCTGGGCGGAGACTCAAGTCCCTGCTAACCCTTCTTCCCCAGGGTAGAGTCCTAGGAACAGTTGATAAACTCTTACTATCGGCTGCATTCTGTGTTAGATATCTTATCGTATTAACTCATTTAATCCTCTTGATAACCCTGTGAGATGGGTCTTATTAGCTCCACTTTGTGGATAAGAACGCTGAGGCTTAGAGAGATTCGAGACTGGCCTCAGATCGCACAGCTGAGAAAGACAGAGCTGGGAGGCAGCCTGAGCTCAGTGCTTCCGCGGCATCTGCGCCGCCCTCTGCAGGGTGCTGCCGAGGAACTCTCTCCCACTGGACTGTTGGTTCCTTGCGCTCAGGGTCAGGACCTTTCTAGCTCTTGGCCTGGCACCATGAGCCACTCAGTATAGGCTAAATGAATGAATATGTGTCTACCCAAATGCAAATGGCCCATCACAGGTTGAGGGCGTTGGGTTGGAAAATGCTCTGGCAGCCTTGTGGGTTACTTCCAAAGGCAATTGGTACCATTGAGTTTAATGTCTAATTAATTATTTCAGGGAGGAGGAAATGACCATATATTGAACATTTGCTGTGCCTGGTACTTTATAACCATTGTTTCATTTTATTTAAGGGAGCCAAGGTTTTTCTCATGGAGAAAGGACCATTCTGCCGCTCTCCCAGAACACAGTGCAGCCAAGGGGAGACCAGAGACAGTCCCTCGTCAAATGGTTTTCCTTGCTCCTGCAGCTTCTGGGAATGTCTATTTTATAGGGACTAAAGGAACCATCACTGTCCCCTGTCTCTTTGGCCCTTACTTCTCTGGCCACAGGAGTGACAGCAGGGCCCAGGAGCTCATGATTCTCTTTCACTGTACCTGTTGTCCCTCAGCATCGCTCTGGCATTGTGAGGCTCGCTACCTAAGACTGAAGGGTGAAGATTGAGGTCAGCTAAGCAGCCTGCCCTTTGGGAAGCCCAGATGACACTTCCTCCCATGCCCAGGCTCTGCCTGGTCAGTCTCGCAGGAGCTATTGAACTTGAGCAGAGCAGAGAGAAACCCTAGGCCCTTGTCTTGGTTTCTGATCTCTAGGATCCTCCTGCCTTTGTGGGGAGGAGCCCCAGAATTGGCCAGGACTGGCTCCCTTCTGTGGAGCACAGACGCCCAAGACCTGGTGAGCAACCTAGAAGTCTCACAGCTTGGAGAAAATCCTGAACTATTTGGAGGAAGGATCAAGGATGGCTCCTGATTATTATTGTCCTCACTAGTAACACACAAATAAGTAATCATCAGAAGTTAACATGATACACCTCAAAGGCATCTTAGAAATGCAAAGGGCTTTGTATCTTTTAAAGTCCTTGAGTGCAAGGACTGGACTCACACTTCTTATAGCTCCTTCCTTGTTTACTTCCTCTCCCCTGCCCAGCCCCCACCTCCACCAGGTGATGAGCATTTTACTGGGCACGTCACTGGTGCTCAGGAGTTGCAGTAAAAACTGAAACGAAGTGAAAAGAAGTCAACTGCCTCTGCTTCTCCGGAAGGCAGGGAGCTTCTTTATATTTCATGGCATGAGAAGCAGGAGCCTGGATTGATGCCCAAGGTCACCAAGCAGCAGAGCTAGGCAGACAGGCCTGCAGCCACAGCCCGCGGATCTCGGCTGGCCCTCTCTCCCACTGGACAGTGCCCGGGTATGACAGACATTTATCTCATTTCGCCCCGCTCTTTCTCAGTCTGGTTTATATGGAATGATTAAATACACACTCCAAAATTCCAGCTGAGATTATGTTGCAAATTCCCATTCTTTTTACGCCCCCCTCTCCTCTCCCGTGCACCCTCAGCAAGCTGCCCTGGAAGGAAAGCCACCCAGAAAGCACTTTTCACTTTTCTCTTCCAGTGCTAGTTACAGTTTCATGATTGTTTAAATCGTCTTGTCTTTTATTTATGGGAAAAAAAGGTTTTGTAACTTAGGCTCTGAGTGTGGAAATAAATTCAGGGTGTGGTACTTGAGGACATGGGAAGTATGAAAATTTTGAAAGTGTTACTTCCATTAATTTTGCTTTTGGCTGACCATATACTATAAATATTTTACTTTTCCTGTTACAATTTTGCTTATTCATCAGAGGCCAAATGCTTGACAAAATTAGTCCAGGTTGCAAAATTTTATTTATGATGCTTTTCCATCTTATATGCATTTAAAATGATCAATTACATAAGTGCTAAAATTAGCATGTCAAATATATCTTAAACCACTACCAAGAATAACAAAGAATATTTTCAGAAAACGTAATCTCAATGATATTAGTCAGTGGTAAGTCAGAAATGACTCCCTGAGCATAGAACAAAGAATTCACATCCTAGTGAATAAATTCCTTGTAGCATAGATGCTAGCAGCATAGATGTTCTTTCTAACAAACTAATATTTTTTCAATATTACCTTCCGTAGAAGGACTAGGAATTTAAAAAAAATCTAAGTCAGTAATTTCTTTAAAAATTATCCCAGTGATAAGTGTTTTAAAATTGTGGTAAAATATACATAAACATAAAATTTACCATTTTGGCTATATTTAAGTGTATAGATCGGTGGCGTTCATACATTCACATTGTTGTGCAACCATCACCCCTACTCATCTCCACAACTTTGTCATCATCCCAAATCTGCCACATATGTTTTAAATATTCATTTTCTTCTTATTAAGTGGGAAAAGCCCCTGTGTCTTCCCAGCCATGCCTTGGAGATGAGAAGAAGGAGGGTAACAATCGCTCCCCTTTGTTAAGCTTGCCCTGTGCTTTATAGGCATCATTTCCTTCCATCCCCAAACAACCTCATGAAATCTGTGTCTGGTCTCCATTTCACAGGTGAAGATACTGGAACTGGCCAAGGACACGCAACGAGCATGAATCCGTGCCCAGAGGAGGTGCTCCTTCAGCAGCCCTTAGCCACTCAACCCTGTGCGAGTGAGAATGTGCCTCCTGGCTACCCTCTCCCAGCCCAGAACACGCCTCTCAGCTCGCCTCCTCCATTCCCCACAGCACCCTCTACTCCCTCTGTGCCAAAGGCAGGACCTTAGAGGGCAGTTGCTTCCCAGCCTCAGCTCTTGGCTCTATGGTCTCGGGTCTCTGATTAAAGTCCCTCTGCTGTCCCCACTCCCATTTCCTCCTCTCCACTTCCCTATCCTCATTCCATTACTGCTCAGCACTTCCTCACCTCTGGTTCCTCCTCTCTACCTCCCTCTAGACCCTTCCCTGGGCCTATCTGTGAAAATTCAAACTGCCCCGGGGTTCGCCGATTCGGATCCCGGCGCGCACCGACACACCGCTTGGCAAGCCATGCTGTGGCGTTGTCCCATATAAAGTGGAGGAAGATGGGCACAGATGTTAGCCCAGAGCCAGTCTTCCTCAGCAAAAAGAGGAGGATTGGCAGATGTTAGCTCAGGGCGGATCTCCTCACACACACAAAAAAAATTCAAACTGCCCTCATCCTCCCCACTCCAGGATCCACTCTCACCTCCCTACCTTGGCTGAACCCTGGCTTTTCCTGGATTCACTGTTCCCCCTATCGCTCCCTCCAGTGGGGGTCATTTCCATACCCTACTCGCCACAGACCCCAAGATGGGGCTGGGCTTGCCTGGGGCTTCACTGCTTCTTTCAAACCTTTATTCTTCCTCCCTCTGTAGAACAAAGCTCATCCCCCTGAGGCTTGGATTGAGCCCCTCTACCCCTTCCAGTCATCACGTGCATGCCCCATCCTGCCAGGTATCTCTTCATTCATTGAACACCCGCCATCTGGTGAGGCTTCCTCTCCACCTCACCGTGCAGCCTCCATCTCTCACGACAGCCTCACAATTCCTTCCCCTCCAACAGAATTCACCTTCCCTCTACTTCAGCCTCTTCTTCCCAGGCCCAGACCCAGGACCTCCGTAAAATATTAAATCTGGTCTCCCATTCTGTGACTCAGTCTCCTCTCCCTTTGACTCTCTCACGCCCTCACTCCTTCTGCCCTCTCTTCAACCGCTGACACCACAGCCCCCTGGCCCTTCAGCCCTCTCCTTGTCCCTCTTCAAAGTTTCTCAGAGCCCTCACAGCTCTATTTCTCAGCTACTCTCATCTGGAAAAACCTTAGTCCCAGGTCCCTTGTTCCTGGCTTTTGTCCCATACGCAGCTGTTGAAGAAAACCACAACACAGACTCCACCTCAAACTCCTGGTCTCCTCCTTGGCTGATCCCTTAGTATCACTCCTCATTCTTGCCTTTGTCCTTGCTGAGCTCCTTCGCCCGTTTCTCTCGAGTAGCTGGCAAAGCTTCACCACGATTCTGGAGACTCCTACTTGGTTCCCACCCTCCACCCTCTCAACAGAAGATGGTGCCTCTTATTTCACTGAGAAAAAGCCAGACTCTCAGGCTTGAATCCCCTCAACTTCCCACCCCATGACCTACAGACGTATGAAGCAGGACGTTAAAATGGAAGTTTCAGTGAGGCACCACAATTTGATAGACATCAGATATGAAGTTGGCTGGGAGACAGGCCACCCCTGGGACCTTGCACGTTTCCAAAGGTTGACGACCGAGAATCTGTTAGATGACTTAAAGGATTGAAAAGGAAGATTAGAAAGGATTTCTTCAGAGAGAGTTGTGTTGTAGGTACACCCTCCACAAGAGGGAGGACAGGGAAGACCTCACCTGTAGCCAAAATAGGGCTTCAAGGAGGCCACTTGGAAAGCTTAACGTATGACCCCTGGAGTGTGTTGGCTACAGTGGGATGGTGTCTGACAGGCCTCTGAGGGGAGGGATCTAGGGCAGAGAGAGAGCAGACTGCACTGGGAACTAACTGCCCTTGTCCGCACAGTGGATCCTGAAGGCACAGTGTGCCTGGTGAAGGAGACAGTGGGCTCAACAGAGAGCTAGCCAGCCTGGAGCTGTTGTACGTCCCATCAGGAGGACTGCCTACCGGAGGAGGTGACCCCAACAGGTGGAAGACGGTTGAAAAATGAGGAGTTGAGGAGAGAGAGGAGGAAAATGCAGCACCCTTGTCACGGGAGGTACAGTTACAGTCCCCAGTGGAAGCTTCCTAAGGACCCAAAGGAGTAACCCATGGAAGAGACAACTGGAAACGCCTGCTAGGCCCAGAGACACAAACTTTCTTATGATGATATCAGTCAGATAAAGATTCTCCTGTTCTCCTGACCTCCCTCTTCTTGCTTCATTCCTGACAAAGTCTGCAACCAGAATCATCTGGAGAAGGAGAGGAAGTGTGGACACATAAAATTGGCAATGAGATGCAAAGGACCACACTCCCTCCTAGACTACGGTGTTCTCACCTGCAGCTGGCACAGTGGGAAAAAGAAAGGGGGACACCTTGCCTTTGAATGAACTTAGGATTTTGATTATTATCTGATATTGGATATTTGTAATTAGAGAACTGACACTGAATTTACAACCTAAAGTGACCATACAATTGATGACTCCTAGCTTTCTATTTCCAGCACAGACTTCTCCCTTGAAGTTTCATTCTTATGTATTCTAAAGCTTACCGGTCATCTGTAATTAGCTGCTCTACAAGCTCCTCAAACTCAGCATGTCCAAACCAAACTCATCTCGTTCTCTCTGTACAGGAGGCCCTTCTTTATGTAAGTGGCAGCTTAGTTGGAAGAATTATCTTCCATCCATCCATCCATGGTTCCAAATGATGCCTCAGTTCTCCTATTACTTTCCTCCGTTTTAATCATTATAAAAACATAGTTCAAATATGATGACTCAGTACCCCATTTCTTTTCTCTATTTGAAACACTAAGACAACCTTATTCAAATGGCTCTTTTTGGTGTCATTTGGGCTTCGTCTGGCGCAAGAGTATCTTTTTTTTTTTTTTTAAAGGAGAGCTGGACTCCTAAGTGCCTCCATTTTTATTTATTTATTTATTTGTTTATTTATTATTTAAAAAAAATTTTTTTTTGCAGGAAAGATTTGCCCTGAGCTAACACCTGTTGCCAATCTTCCTCTTTTTTGTTCTTCCCCAAAGCCCCATTGCATGGTTGTGTATTCTAGTGGTAAGTCCTTTGGTTCTTCTATGTGAGCTGCCGTCACAGCATGGCAACTGACAGATAGGCAGTGTGGCTCCACGACCGGGAAATGAACCCGGGCTGCCAAAGTGGTGAGAGCACTGAACTTTAACCACTAGGCCACCAGGGCTGGCTCCAGAGGCTCTTTTACAAATTAAGTCCACTTCTATTCTGTTCTCACTAGCAATGATGCAGAGAGCTCTCCTCGACGCCCCTGCAATGGTAAACACCCACACAAGAGGGGTCGCTGTAGCCATGGAGCAGACCAGCTGCCAAGTGGTTAGCCAGGTGATCCAGAATATGCTTAAGCTAATAAAAAAAAATGTCACTACTTTCGCAGAGAATTTGTAGATTGAAGAGTTTATCACTGCAGACCCTGTAGCTGACCCCAGGTAGAAATACTGTTCTACAGGTTAATTCAAATTCTACTTGCCTACCTCTGATGCCTTATCTCTTCCATTCCCTGTCTCCAGACAAAATTGCCTTCAGTTCTCAGCTTACATCATGCTATTTCTTCCCTTTGCTCATGCTGTTTCTTCAGCCTGGAATCCACCTCCTCTAGGAAGCCCCTTCTGTGTTCTGGGCTTGAGTAGATGCCCTTTCATTGTGGTCCCCAAATATCCAAGGTATATGTCTATTGTTGCATTTAGTATATTGTATCATAGTTGTCTTTTAAAGTGTCTGTATCCACTACTAGACTGTGAAATTCTTAGGGTAAGGACTGTGCCTGATTCAGCTCTGCATGTGTAGGACCTTACACAGCGCCTGGCATAGAGTTGGTGTGCACATAACGTCTGGTGAGTGAGTGAAGGAGTGGTACCTGCCGGTCTGCCAGATCAATCTTGTTGCCCAGCACCACCATGGGGTAGGACTGCTCCATTGGAATGGTTTTGGCGAGAACATCACCCCGCCAGGTATCCAGGGCTTCAAAGGACTCCAGGTCGGTGACATCAAAAGCCAGGATGCAGCCATCAGAGCCTTTGTAGAACGTGGACACCATAGAGCGGAACCGCTCCTGTCCGCCTGTGTCCCAGATCTGAAAGCGAAGAGCAGCAGCCCCACGGGGCTGTGATGAGGCGCTGGAGGTAGGCCCAACTGAGTCACATCATGTCAAAGCTCCTTTTTTTGGATAGAGAGCAGACAGCCCTGGCACAGGTGCATGTGGTCCTTTCACACACGGGCTTCTTGACCCTGTCACTCAAGGACACCCCAGTATCTTTGCACAAACATTATCATCCCAAGAGAACTTTCACATCCGAGCCCTCATTATTCCCCTGGGTCATCAGGGCAGGCATTGTTATTCCCATCTGAGAGATGGTTAGACCTTGGAGCGACTTGCCCAAGGCTACTTGCCAAATTTTCCTGAGACTGGGAAACTCCTGGGTTAGCACTCTTCCTTCTAGATCAGGGATCAGCAAATTTTTCTGTAAAGGGCCACATAATAAATATTTTAGGCTTTGCAGACTATACTAGCTGTTGCAACTACTCACTTCTGCTGTTGCAGTGCGAAAGCAGCCATAGACCATAAGTAAACAAATGAGCATGGCTGTGTTCCAAAAAAACTTTATTTACGAAAGCAGGTGGTGGACCAGATTTGGCCCATGAGTTGAAGTTTGCTAATCTCTGCTCTAGACCATTCTAGCTCCTGGTGCACATTGCTGTGTTGAGTGGGGTGATTTTCAGGTATGTATGTTGATGAGGGAAAGGGAGGGCTGCTCACCTGTAGCTTCAAAGTTGTGTCATCCAGTATGATAATCTTGGAGAGAATGCTGGCCCCTAGTGTGGTCTGATAGTCCTCGTAAAATGTCTTGTGCACATATTGGTGGAGGAGGGAGGTCTTTCCTACACTGAGGAAAAACACCCAGACACATGTGGACACGCATATGAACACACACACACCATCCATACCATTCTCAAAATCTTACCATGCCCCTCTCGCCACCATCTCTCCCTGACATTCTGAATTTCTAACATTTGAAGTCCAAGGACCGTACTTTGAGTAGCAAGGGACTAGGGAATGGTCTCTAGAGTAGGGACCAGTTAAAGGAGCAGGGAAGTTTGCAGAGAGCTGAGCGCCCCACAGCAATGGTCAGATCTTTTCTGTGTGTGGCAGGAGGTGAGAGGGCAGATAGATGCTAAGTGGCTTGACTAATTCACACAGCTAGTTACTGCAGAGCTGGGACCAGAAACCAGGGTGCCTGACTCTCAGCCTCTTTCTCCCATCTGAGCTCCCTTCCTTGGGATAGGATACCCTCCCTGGTGCCACTCTGAATCAGAAATGGACCCATGGGAGGTGGGAACACATCCAGGAAGTCTCGCTACCCTTCAGTAGGGAGCTGCTTCCCAACTCCCAGATCCCCAAGCTGAGCTTGGCTTACCCCAGGGCTCCAATGATGATGAGCTTCAGGTCCACCTTCTTCCGGGGATTCATGAGGGGCTTCAGAGCCTGTAGGGAAACAGAAGTCATCCACATGCTGGCCAGAGTCCCCTGTGGCCATTTTCACTGAGGCTGCCCTCTACTTTTCCCTCCTCGATGTGCAGATCACTGCCCTGGGCTGAGAACTTGGGTGGGGTTGTTCTCCAAAAGAGGCGGATGACTTAGCAACCCTTACTATACCCTACCCCTCCCTTCCAGGGCCTCCCCAAGGCTAGAAGGCTGGTGGCCCCACAGGACAGGCACGTCTCTCACCCTTCAGCTCCACCAGCCCTGCTGTTGGAGGCAGCCAGGAGAGCCAAGAAGGCGGGATGGGACTGAACAGAGGCCTCACAGACAGTCAAGCCTGAAGCCAGGGATGGAGGGCAGTGTGGGAAGAGGAGATGGGGGCAGGACAAGGGGTCCATTGTCAGGACTGCCTGAGAGGCTTTGGTTGGAGGAGCACCCCTCCCCCAGCCCGAGGTGTTGCTGAAATCGCAGAATCAAAGGCTCTTCTCTAATGCAGCTGGTGGGGTTGTAATTGGTACATGTTTCTGGAAAGCTACTTGGCAGCAAGTATTGAGAGCCTTAAAAATGTCCCTGCCCTTCACTTCTAGGAATGTGTCCTAAGGAAATAATCCGAAATGTGGGCAAAGACTCTTCTTCAAGAATGTTCTTCTCAGTATTATTTACAAACATCCAACAATAAAGAAGTGGCTAAATAAGTCATGGCACACAATGCACTATTAAGTAGTCATTAAAATGGAGTTTTGGAGCATATTATAGTAATGTGGGAAAGTGCTTATGCCGTAGGACATAAATGAAAAACAGAAGACACTAAACTGTGCATACAATACTACCTCCAAATATTAAAATGAGTTCCTACTTTCATGGAAAATGGTCTAGAGAGAAATATACAAAAAATTTAAGTGGTTAATTCTGAGTGGTAGAAAATTACATGATTTTAATATTGTTCTCTGTGCTTTTTAGTATGTTTCAATTTTTTTTTACAACAAACGTGTGTTGTTCCTGTAAGAGAAAAATACGTATATGTGCATGTGTGTGCATTTTATATATACGTGTATGTAAATTTTATATATGTTTATTTATTTTTTAATAAGATAAATCAGAACTGTTGCAGAGGATTGTGCTTCACTGTCTCTTCGGTTCTACCCTTACACGCACGCACATTTGTACACTATTCCCAACTCCTGGGTCTTCTATCTTTGCATGCACTAGACATTCTGAGAAAACAGACTCTGCCTGGCTGAGGCGTCAAAAGTTGGCCAGCTTGAGTTTCCCCTGGTACTTGGGAAAGGCTCTAAATGGGATGTCTAGTTCTCACTTTGCCACTGCGTGACCTTGGGCCAGTTACCTCCCCTCTCTTTGCCTGCTTTCCAGCTAGAGAGTGAGCCAGTTGGGACCCAAAGACTCAAGGTCCTTCTGCTGGCAAATGCTTTATTTGGAGCTGTAACTCACTGGACCACGAGAGCTTTGTCTGGGGTGCCTAGTCAGTGCACAGTTAGAGCAGAAGACCCCCAGAGGCCTAGGGTTGTTTGTGCCCCTCCATGAACCATGTCATGGACCAAGGCTGATTTGAGGCTCTACTCAGAGCTGCTTGTCCTAGGAGCCAGATTGGTGGCACTGGACTTTCTGCTATAACCCAGGAGGGCTGGGTTGGCATGGTGAGAAACAGGCCTTTTTGATGGTCCATGCGTTCATTCAACAAATGCCTACACGTCTACTGCATGCAAAGCCCTGCACTCGACACTGGGAGGAGCACAAAGACAAAGCAAATAGGAACCCACCCTAGGGAGTCATCAGGGGAGAAAGGGCAGGGGCTGAGCAATTACACCGGAGAGGAAGTGTAAAGTGCCCCCACAGAGGACAGAGAAAGTCCTGAGGGAATCTGGGAAAGGGGTCAGGGAGAAGCCAGCAATCTGAAGAAACGAGACAGGTGGTTGGGGGTGATATTTCAGAGGTAGGGAATGAATGAGTCCAAGCCCTGGGAACAGGTGAGTGGAGAAGGTGGATGGTTTGCTTAGGGAAGGGTGAGGTGAAGGGTATGGAGAGAGGAAAGCCTGGAGAGGAAGAAAAATTAAGATGGCTCATGAATATCAGACCAAGGATTCTGTCCTTCATTCATTCAGCAAATATTTCCCATGCTCCAGAAAAGCAATGGAAGAGAATTCAAGGTCTTCACTGGGGTTGGCATTTTGTAATGGATGTCACTGCCCACAAGGAAACCAGCCAAGAGAGAAGTAGCTCAGAAGCTCCTAAAAGGCACAGGTCTCTAAGCATCAGTTGCCGCTCCAGAGAGGGAGCAATGGTGAGCTCTTTCCTAAAGGCTTTGGTACGACACGCTAACTTAGCTTCAAAAGCCAACACAGAGCCTTAGAAAGGGAGTCAGAAAAAAAGGGAGGCAGGAGAAGTAAGAAAGGAACTAGCATTGGCTGAGTATCTTCAAGGTGCTGTTCTGCATCCTCTGTAGAGCTTAGGGAATCCTCCCAAGAGCCCTAAGAGACGAGTACAACCGAGCCTCAGAGGAACCAAGTCACTCATAACTCATCCAGGCCACACGGGTAGTACATGGACGAGCTGGTGTTTGAATCCAAGGCCAGAGAAGGCTCCTCTGCGCCACGTTGCCTCCTGACTTCCTGAGTTTGAACCCATAGAATCTGTGTGCACAGAATCTAGGGCACTGGACTCAGGTTTGGTGAGCACAACAAACCCTAGTAAGAGTTGGAGGAGATTGAGAGAAAGACAAAGTGACGAGAGGTACAGTGGAGGGAGGGAACTGGGGCTGCTGAACTGGAGCTGCTGGGTGAGGACTGACCACAGGGTCAAGACTGGGCATGCTGAGGCAGAGGGAAATGTGCTCACATGCTGTGACACAGCCATGCTGCCTGGCGGCTCACACTATGAGCTCACACTTATTTTCCTGGCACTGTGCTGAGGGCCTTGCAAATATGTGAATAGACAGTATGCATATCATTGTGAGGTTAAATGACTGCATACATTATTATCATACGTTTAATACATACATTATCTGGCCGGCCCTGTGGCTTAGCGGTTAAGTGCGCGTGCTCCGCTGCTGGCGGCCCGGGTTCGGATCCCGGGTGTGCACCGACGCACCGCTTCTCCCGCCATGCTGAGGCCACAGCAACTAGAAGGATGTGCAGCTATGACATACAACTATCTACTGGGGCTTTGGGGGAAAAAAAATAAATGAAATTATAATACATACATTATCATAATACATTTACTGGCACAAATTAAGGGCTCAAGGATTGTTAGCTCTTTTACCACTACTCTTAGCACACAAAAAATAGCCTGTGGGGTTGACACTATTATGATCTCTATTTTACTACTGAAGAAAGATGTTTGGAGAAGTTAAGTAGTTCATCTCTAAAGACACAGCCTGTAAGTCGTAGGGCCTGGGTTTGAATCCAGGCCTAATTTCAGAGCCCACACCCTTAACTGCTAGGGTCTACTGCCTCCTGCAAATCTGGAATGAGGATCACACACCTTGCCACTTTCTGCCCCTGTCTGGCTTGGGAGCTGGATGCTGTGGATGGACAGGTTTGGCGTAGTGCAGCCAGGCTGGTGTGCGCATAAAGGGAAAGCTGGCGGGGGGAGGTAGAAAGTGTATGTGTTATGTAAAACAGAGGATCAATTTCCACTATGTGTAAAGCACTCTATGGGTAATCAAAAACAACGTACAAGATAAAAGTGAGCAAAGAGTATGAGTAAGTAACCAGTAGAAGTCTTATAAACAGTTAGTAGTAGGCTTTGAAAAGATACTCAAACTTACTCATTTTTAAGGGCACGCAAAATTTAAAAATGTCATTTTTTTTTTTACCCACCAGAGTGGCAAAAATTAAAGAGTGATGATAATATTTAGTGTTGGCAAATGTGTTGAGGAAACACTCTCGTGTATCGTGGATAAAGTATGAATTGGCACAGTCTTTCTTGGAGGGCAATTTGACAATATCAAAACTTAATACGCACATACCCTAGGTTCTAATTCTAAGAATCTATCCTACAGAAATACGCATATACTCAAACACACATTTGTACAAGGATGATGGCTGAAGAGCATTGTTGTAACCTAAAAGTCCATCAATAAGAGCTCTCTATGTAAATTATGACCCATTCATTCTTTGGAATACCAAGCAGTTTTTAAAAGACAGAAGTAATGAAGTAGAAATGTCTGCTGATAATTTAAGTAGAAAAAGAACATTATTGAACTTTGTGTATAGTATGATCCCACTTGTATAAAAGCAAACAACAAACCTATGTGTGTGACTATATGGTTGATAATATATTGATGCTTGTCCTGCAAACACACAGAAAGCTATGGATAGATACAAACTAAATGATTCCTACGAGGTGGGGAAAGGTAGATTAGAGGCCAGGAGCTGTTGTTTTATTTTATATTTATCTTGTGTTAAAATTGGCTACACAAGCCTAAGCTATAATTTAAAAATATCAAAGACTTAACATTTCTTTCCAAAGAGCATGTGGACGGATGGCAGCCCAAGGTCATCTGAGTGTGACTTCATGGCAGGACGAATGACTTCTGTGTATGGGCAAGAGAGGGAGGCCACCTGGCACCCTGGAATGATCATGAGGTTCCGAGTCATAGTTCTTATCCCGTCTCCACACGTTTGTGACCTCGGGTAAGTTACTTAAGTTTGCTGAGTCTGTTCCCTCGTGGGTGAAATGGACATCCCTCATGGCCACAGCTTATTCTGCAGGGTGGTGTGTGTCATGTTCTTATAGCACAACAGCCTCCCCAAATTAGGGAAGATCCAGTTAAATGGTTAACAACTTGGGGCAGGGGAGCAGAGATCTGATCTGTAGTGCTTGCCACTTTCTGTGGTGTAAAGAAATACTTCCTCCATGGCTGATTTCAAGCTATCAGTGTGGAGCCTGCTCCAACACATTATAGGAGGGACTTCTAAGGTCATCTAGTCCAATCTCCCCACCAGTGCTTGAGCCGTCTCCACCACATTCATGGAGAGATGGAGCCAGACTTGCTTTCATAGAGCTTCTTCCCCCCAGTGTGGGTGGATTTCTCCTGGGGACCACACAAAAAATGCTCAACTCCTCTGCCACTTGCTAGCCCTTCTGAGGTTTAAAGTCTTCCCTTTGAGTTCTAGTTGAGTCTTTTCTTCCCCAGACCCTTGTAACTCACCTCTGTCTTGATTCTGAGCTCACCTCACCCCACCGCCACCCTGGTCCCTTCCCCTGGATGTGCCCTCAGAGCATGCTGCCACTGCCAGTCCCCTACCCCACTCCCAGAAGGGCAGGAATTTGCTGAGGCTGCTCTGTAAAACAGCCTGGTTCTCTCCCTCTGTGCCGTCATGGTGTGTGCATTGACTCATCATGGTTGACTCATTCCTCACCATGTCTTCTCATAAGACTTGCAGGACCAAGCGATTCCTGGCCAAGAATCAAAAGCAGAATCATCCCATTCTCCAATGGATTTGGATGAAAACTGGTAATAAAATCAGGCACAACTCCAAGAGGAGACACTGGAGGAGAACCAAGCTGGGTCTATAAGGAATCGCATGTGAGATGGCACACATATTGATGCTGTATCAAGGTCACTAGCATCCTACCATGTCAGGCTTTAAAAATCACCACTATCTGGACAGTTGGACATGTTTTATTGGGAAAATGATTTTTCTTTTTGTTTCTATGCTTCCGTATGAGTAGGTGTTCAGTAAGAAATACATGAGAACTTTTATTTGAAAAAAATAAAATAGAATAAAAAAGCCTGGTCCTTGGGCCCAGGATAACTAGCAGCAACAGAGGGTGACTAGGACTGCGTCAGTGGCAGGGAGGGCAGCTCAGGGGTCAACGCTGGCTGGGCACACCAAGGAAGCATGTGCAGATTTCCGATGGTGGCTCCAGTCCCTTCCCAAATCCTCTGTGCTCTACCCTTGGCTGGGCTTTGGCAATGGCTGTCCTCCCACTCCTCCCACTCCTCCTCCCACTCAGCTGACTCAGATGCTTCAAACCAGGGCATCCTCCTAGAGGCCAGGCTGAGTCACCACCCTCCACTGTTAAATAACAGTGAAAAGCAGGCTTGGAATGCAAAGCCCGCCTTCAGCCAGCCGGGTGTACACAGAGCAGAATCTGCAGGGGACTGTTGCCATTGCATTCAACTCACTCTTCACCCTCTCTTGCCTGGCGCACTTCTAAGCCCAGAGCCCTGGCCCTGCCTGGTATGCCAAAGCTACAGTGTAGCTCAGTCCCTGGGGAGTAAGAGAGACTGAGTTGATGCTCTCCCCTAATAAAATATTTTTTTAAAAAGCCCTAGCTCTTGGAACCAGACTTACGAGAACTCTTGGACCTGCTCTGCTCTCACCTTCCCAATTCCCTTCTCTCCCTAACCCATGGCCCCAGCCACAACCCAGGTACAATCTCCTGCCTCTTTTGTGTTGGGTTGACGTGTCATTTCTGCTAATAGGGAGGAGGGATGAGGGAGGCCAGTGTGCATGGGTAGATGAGAATTCTGAAGCAGGCAGTCTCCCCACCCACCTCCTACTATCTTACCCCACTTTTCAGTGCCTCCCGTCCCTGTTCCCACATCTTGGAAAATGATAAATGTATCCCCCCTAAAACATTAATGGGATTTACAATCTGGGGAGTAAAGTTCGTCTTTGAAAAGAGGCTATCTAGGGAGCACAAGGTTTTATTGGCTCCCAGGAAGTCTCACAACTCTGTCTTAACCACTTACATCTCAGCAGGTCTAGACCTGCTCACTCTGGAAAGTGCACCCACAGCCCTGGTTTCAAGAGGCTCAGCGTTCTCGTTCTTTGAGTTCTTTGGGAGTATTAGTCTTGTTTTACCAAGTAAATTGTCAGTGCCCAGAGGGCAGGACAGTGCCTCACACCTCTCTGTACCCCTCCAAAGAGCCTGACCCATGTTGGGAATATTGAGTCTTCAATAAATGGTCATCCATCATCCTCATCTATCTGTCCATCCACCCATCCATCTATGCATCCATCCACCCATCCATCCACCCATCCATCCATCCATCCATCCATCCATCCAACTATCTGTCTATCCATCCATCTATCTGTCCATCCAAACATCCATTGGTCTGTCTGTCCATCTGTCCATCCATCCAGCACATGTGCTTATTATGCATCAGCAATATGTAGGTCTGAGAATATAGACAAGTTATTATCTCCAGGGGACTTATGTGGTGGGGGATGGATTGGTAAGCCCCTCAAAATCACTTTTATTAATGCATAATGCCTAGAAATTATAGGATACTTTGCAGTTTACAAAACGCCATCATAGCCTGGTGGATTCCTGAGCCAAGGACAACTAGGTAGTGGCAAGCTCAGACGGGACTCTAGGTCTGTCTGACTCTGTTCGTTGGCTCGCCTAGCATTGCTGAGCTGTGCTAGGAGACATATTTATGATTTAGAACAAGAGGGACACTTTCCTACTCCAAGGGTTCCCCTGTCCCTGATTAGACCCTTTGCGTGATATGGGTTCCAGCCCAGAAGGTACCCTGTCCATGTGGCAAGGGGACTCCGGGTGCTGGCAGGACTCTGGTTCCTGGCTGGTCCTCCTCTGGCTGAGCCAGCAGCCCTGTCATCCTGCTGAGACTAACAGCCGGTGTAGAGCCCCGAGCCGGGCCCCAGCTCCCTGGGCTGGGCGGGGAGTCCTCTCTGCATGGCTCGCTGCCAGTCCCTGGGTGTTTCTCCAGCGTGGGGGTCTTGGGACTGGATCTAAGCCTGACAGCTGCCAGATTCTAAGCCTCATTCTTGCATCCCCTGCCTCCATTCCTCCCTTCAAAACCCAAATACTCTAGAGGCTGCTGGGGCAGACAGAAGAACCAAGAAAAATTTCCAGGGCACTTACGGTTGTAGCTGCTTAGCATTCAGCCTCCAAAGGCGGGCAGGAGTCCTCTCTGAGTCAGGGGTCTCCTGTTAGAGCAAGTCTCAGCCGGGTCGGAGGAAAAAGGCTTTGGGAGCAAAAAAGAGTTTGTTGAGGCCAAGACACTTCCTTCTGAATTTTCCTCCTCTCCCTCTCATGCACAGACTTGGGAAAGTTGCAAAAGAGGCTGGGCCGGGGTGACCTCAGCTGTGTGGGTGGAGGGGGTGGGGTGAAAAGGGAAAGCTAGGCTTCAGAGCTGACTGGATTTGGGGCCCCATGAGAATTTAGTTTGTAGGGACTCTGGCCCTGGGGGAGATGTGGAATGGAAGGCTTGAGGGTGGGATCTTGTGGGTCAGAGGGCCTGCAAAGTAACGGGCTGACTCGTGGGCACCATAAAAAGCCTCTGGCTGGTTTTAGGAACTTCTGCCTCTGCTGCTGGAAGCCACCCAGTAAAAGGGCCCTTTTGTTTGTTGAAGTGTCACATGTGTAGTAGATTCGGTCCCACCACCAGCCTGGCAGGGAGACGATCTGGCCCTCGCGCCTAGCCCTCACCCTAATACTGTACACACTCCACATCACACCATATCATCGCCACCACCACCACACACACATACACACTCCGGGCTTGTGAAATGGGAGGCAAGTCCTGACATCTCACCGGGCCTCTCGGATGGGGATGTGTGACTCAACCTGGAGCACTTAGAAGACTACAGCAATTTAAAATGCTGTTAGCGTGACACTAACCGTGCTGTCTCTTTGAGCTGCCTATGGTTGGCAGATAAAAGGGGAATAAAATGAGTGTAGACATGCCCAAATTAGGTGGGTTAACAGATCCCAACGGATGCCCTCAAGGCTTGTAACACATTTGATGCACCCCTCCATCCCCACATTCCTTCTGAGGTGGAGGTTTTCCTCCTCGGCAGCCCATTCCTTTGTTCAGTAATCTTTCTGTCAAAAAGTTCCTCCTTGTGTCCAGCATGAGTCTGCGATGCTGCTTTGTCGCTTCTGTCCGTGTCTGTTTGGTTAACCAGACACGACGCACCTAAGGGCGGACTTAGTATCCTTCACCCCACACTTGCACACGCGGTGCCGGGGACAGGCTCAGGAGGGAGTTTTTGGTGGCACCAAAGCTCCAGCTGAGGCTCGTTTCCTTGCTTCAATTAGCAAACATGCCTGGAGGGAGCGTGCAAAGATTTCTGTGGAGTGCGAGTGGAATCTTGTGCTTACTTGAGAAAGGCAGTCAGCCCACCCTGGATTCGTACGGCGTTGCCCTTTAGAATTGTTTCCCCCACATTCTTCTATTTTTTTGAGACCATGTTTTAAAGAAAGATTTGTGTTTGTGTTTGTGTGTGTGTGTGTGTGTGTGTGTGAGAGAGAGAGAGAGAGAGAGAGAGACAGAGAGACAGAGAGAGACAGGGAGGGAGCATGAATTGAATGTCTGTGGAGGCACGTTTGAGCCCCTGTCAGAGAACATATACAAGCTGCCATAGGGCCTGCTGCATTGGCTGCTTTTGGGTAGGGGAAGTGAACTAGCCTCCACCAGGCCTTACAGCCTCTGAACACGGGACTGAAACTTATACTTTTAGGGGATGTTTGCAGAACTGTCCCTGACACCTTTGGAAGCCAAGTCATCCACCACCCTCGGGCTCCAGTCCCACTTCCTCTGTTCACACGGATCAAGAGTCAGCACCTTCGTCCCCTTCCTCTGACACGTGCTCCAGTGGAGAATGATGGCCCACAGGGTGGAGGCTCTGACGCCACATTCATCGAGTTTCCTTCTCTCCTTCCTTCCTGCATGCATTCATTCAATAATCTGAGTATGTCAGACCCTTTGGATACTTGCATTTCATCAGTGGAAATAAGACATAGTGTGAATAACGATATAAGAAACGCAGCTAAAGTGTTGTGGGGATTTAGAGGCTTTAGAGGAGGAAAAGGCTTACGGAAGGAGGGATTCCAATTGGAGCTTAAGGGATACACAGGGTAGGAACATGTTGTAGGTGGAGGAGGGAGTCAGGTTCAATATAAGAAGCATCTGGGGGAGGTGGGCCCTAGGTGGTGAGGAGAGGAGTGGGGATGCTGAGTCTCTGCTAGGCAGAAGAGAGTGTGCACGAACGGGGCTCCGAGTCAGAGCTGACACTTTCGCGGTGGGCATCCCACAGGACTGAGAGCTCAGTCTGCTTTCTCGTGGCACTGCGTCTAGCATCTCTTCGCTATGGTCTTAGCAATCGTTGAAAAGGAGCCATTTTGGGGAACGTGCTCCTCTGGTGAACAGGGTAGAAGGAATCCCAGGAGCGAAAGTGTACAAGTGAGAAAATGGGGATAGTTCCATTTGGTCCGGGGTGGAATAGATGTGAGTGGAGGACAGGAGGTCAAACTGAGGCAAGGCCCTAGAGAGCCCTGAAGGTCGAGTCAGCTTGGCTTCCATTTGGTGCACAAGGGGAGCCATTGTGAAGTTCAAGGCAGAGGAAGGGTGTGATTAGAGCTGGGCTTCAGAAATGTGTCTGGAAGAAGCAGAGACCAGAATCACATCATCAGGAGGTTCTTGAAATACTCTTGATGAAAGGTCATGACTAGGAGCATGGGGACAAGGAAACAAGTCATAGAAGCAATTATGTGACAGAAGCGACAGGGCTGTTGTGAAGATTAGATCGCTGACTTGTTCAGTCGTTCAGCTGCTGTTATGGAGGACCCGCTGTGCGCCGGGCAATGAGCTGGATGCGGTGTATTCAGTGGGGAGCAAGACACCCTTCCTTCTCTCACTCCCGGCATTTAGAGAGCTCTCAATAGACGTTAATTGAACCTGAAGATGTGCCAGGGGAGTGGGAAGAGCGTGAGGCAGATGGAGGAATGAACCTCGGCTCTGCATACTGAGCTGGCATAACTGAGGGGACAGCATGCCACTGACGGAGATGGGAAACGTGGAGGGATTGGAAGGGGACATGGGGGCTTCCGTGTCATCTAAACTGAGGCTGAGGTGCCAGCAGGACATTTCCACGACACCAGTTTGGTTCCATGAGGGTGAACTCTATCATCTTGTTCATGATTCTGTCCCCAGATCACAGTAACAGTGCCTGGCACGTGCTCGGTGCTTGGTCCTAACTCCCCTCCCCCACCCAGCCCCAGCCCCTTGTCTGGCTTCTGACCAGAGCAATTCTGCTGATGGCCCCTGCATTTCCCTGGCCCCAAATCTAGGATCACTACCACTAGAGGTCAAGGAGGCTGCAAGCAGGGTGCTGACCGAGGAGAAGCAGGCGCAGGGCCCGCTCCCAGGCTGGTAGAATGGCAGAGGCCCTGGCTTCCCAGCAGCTTCCTGGAGAGGCTGGGAATACAACCTGGGCGTGCAGGGACCAAAGGCCCATGAGAAAGACTGTGACCAACAGAGACAGGAGGAAAAGATGCCAGCAGATAGAGGTTCAAGCTTGCCGCCTGCCTCTCACTGCCACCTTGCCATCGGACCGTCCTGAGCTGCACTCAGTCCACATGGCCTCGCTGGAGAGGCCCTGTGGAACCGAGCAACAGCTGGGTTTGTTGCAAATCTGTAGTTAGCTTGGAAACTCACCTCCTTGTATTTATTCCCCTTCTCTCTCTTCCTCACTTCCCTTTTCCCCTCTCTTGCTTCCTTTGAATTGAACTTCCCACTAAAATGTTAAATGTAAGCTTCTGACTCAGACATTTTAAAAAAGTTTCCCCTTAAGGAAGTGGGACCAAGATAGGGCTCCATAAATATCTGCTGGGTAAATGAATGAATTGTAGGACCAGAGCTCAGGTTCGATAGAGCAGGACAAGGAACAAAGATACAGGAGTTCATCTGAAAATGTCATAGCTTATCATGTCATCTACTTAGCAATGTAGACATGGGGTTGTCTCCACAGATTACATCCACGCAGAGGCGCCTCATCTCCACGGGTGTGAAAGGGGAGGGGGCAGAGAGAGAGAGAGAAGAAGGCTGAGGTAGAGCCTGAGACACATGCACATTTAAGGAGTGGGAGAAAGAAAAAGATCCCAGCTGGAGGTCGGATGAGGCAGAGACTACTAGTGTTCATTAAAGCCCGCGCACACCTCCAGGCCATAGCTAGATGGTATTTTCCAGCCCCTGTAGATGGGTGTGGCCATGGACTCCATTTTAGCCAATAGATAGAGTGGTGAACAAGACGGAGTTCCTGCCCTCCTGGAGCTCAAGTTGACTAGATGTAGAGGAAATGTCCTGCTGGTTCCTCGGCCTCTTTCAGTCCTGGCCCGTTACCACCTCTCGCAGGATCTGCCGTAGTCTCTCCCTGTCTGCAGGACAAAAAGAATGACTCTGAGGTCCCAGGGGATGTGGGAATGACAAGACGCAAGGACCCCAGGTCTTTGACTCCTGCGACTCTTCAGCTGAACTCTCCATGAATGAGAAATGAACCTTTATTGAGTTAAGTCACTGTGATTTGGGGGTTTATCTGTTACAGAAGTTAGTGTCCCCTCATAACCTGGCAGGTACTGAAAAGACAAGAGGCAGATGTTGAAACTGAGGAGTGGGAGCATATTATGGTCCCGAGGCCTAAACTTGTAGCTCCAAATCCTGGTGCCTTTACAACACCCCAGGTCTGTAGGGTGCTGAGTAAGTTCTCACATGTCTCCTCTACCCTCACCATGCTTGTGAGCACAAGCTCTTCTTTTATGAGCTCCCCAGCCAAAGACTCTGAGCCACGCTCTCGAGCTTTCCTTAGAGAAGGGATCAGACTTCACAGTCTTGAGGCTGCTGACTCCCATGGCAGGACAGTGAGCCCGATCTTCCTCCTACTGTAAGATGCATGGCCAGAGTTCTTCCACTGAGAACAACGGAAGCAATAGGAAGAGATGAGCACCAAGGCCTTAGAAGGACAGAGGAGGGCAGCCCTGGCCATCTCTGCACTAGGGACCTGGGAGCTATCTCTCTTGGAGCACGACTCAGCTCCAAGCACCCGTCCTCGCTGTGGGGTCCCACTCAACACTCAGATTCCCAGGACAGGGTATCTGCTGGGTGTGACATGAGGTCTGTGTTCTCCCCGTGGTGATGACAGGCCCCCAGGACTGTTAGCCACAGGGTCACTAGAACAGGAGAGGGACGAGTCCTCAAAGGAAGTAGTGTTGACACACAGAAACAGCAGGTTCCCTAGAGTGCTCTCAGCAGGGCCTTATCTCCACGCGGGAGCAGACAGGAGGCAGCTGTTTGCATCCTCTTGGGATCAGCAACCACTGACCTTTCAGCAGCAAATAGATTTTTATTTTAAAAAGTAAATATTATTGGGGCGGCCCAACTAGCGTCTACCTGCTGTCCTTGCACCAGAAATCTGCACTGACAGATCCCAGGTCCCCTGAGGAGGAATGCAGATAAGAAGAGTGGAGGAGGAGCCATGAGACGCAGATTCCACCGGCACCTCGACTTCTGACATTGTTCCATGGTTTTATACTCCAATTTCCCCGTTTAGAAAACAGGGTAATAAAACCGCTCTGCCTAATTCACAGATTTGTTGTGAGGGGGGAAAAAAAAAAGAAAAGAAAGAAAGACAAAATACTAAAAGCTCCTGAAAGGAATTTAAGAAGCCACAAATCAAATAAAAGAGCAGTTAGTTAGCAAAGCATCTGCTCTGGGTTGAATTCGCCCCCCAAAAGATATGCTGATGTCCTAACCCCCAGGGCCTCAGAATGACCTTATTTGGAAATAGGTCGCTGAAGACACAATTCGTGGAGAGGAGCTCATACTGGAGTAGGGTAGGCATTTAATCCAATATAACTGGTGTCCTCATGAGAGAGAAGAGACACAGAGACAGAGGCACACAGGGAGAACACTGTTTGATGGTGGCGACAGAGACTGAAGTGTGGCAGCTACAAGACAACAAATGCCAAGGATTGCCAGCCACCACCAGAAGCTCGGAGAAGGCAAGAAAGAATTCTCCCCTATCGGTTTCAGAGGGAGAATGGCCCTGTTGACAACTTGATCTTGGACTTCTGGCCTCCAGAACTGTGAGACAATAAATTTCTGTTGTTCTAAGCCACCAAGTTTGCAGTACTTGGTTACGGGAGCCCTAGGAAACAAGTGTATCATCTTTTAACAACAATTCCCAGGGCATGGTGAAGCTTGGCCAAAGCTCTTGGCCCATCCCTGAGAGCTTTGTGACCTAGTATCAGACATGGGACATGGGACAAGGACCTGGATTTCAGGGGTAACTCCACTGATGTGAAGGTCACAGAGAGCAGAGGTCAGTTTTGGAAAACCCACAGCAGCTAACAGGGCTCAGCGGGTTTCCACAGCCAGTAGAGTTCAGTCCATGCTGACTGAAAGCACCACTTCTGCCTGGAGCGACCCGAGTGCTCAGAGCAGAACTGGGTCAGGGCAGCCTCGGGCCCAAGCGTGCTTTCACTTCCTGCGGGGGGGCCTAAGCACCACTTTCACACCCCGGCCCCCATCACTCAGGCTCCTGGATGAGCAGGCACCGGGCTGGCATGTTTAGCACACCAGGGTAGCCCGCCCCACACAGAGGTGCCCCTTAAGGAGAAAGCCTGCAGGGCTGTTGTCTGACAGTTGGTTCCCATAGGGCTCTTGGGGTGCTTTGTTTTAGAGGAAGAGTCATAAAGCCTTTTTACTCTAGGGCCTCCCACCTTTAATGAGATTTGACTAAGCTGAATGAAGGTCTGGACCCTTGGTGAGCACAGGCATATAAACTAGTTAAGTGTTTACACCCAGGCGTTGTTATTGAATCCTCCCAATAAACCCATGAGGTAGTTACTATTATCACGTCCACTTTACAGATGGACAAACTGAGGTGCAGAGGTCCCACACCTAGTGTCTGACTCTAGACCCTGTGATGTTAACTGCTCTGCTATAATGCTTTGATAGCTTATTCGGATCAAGCTGTTGTGAATTAACTCTGAAAGCAACAATTTAGTAAAAAAAAAAAAAAAAAAGTAAAAACAAAACAAAAAATTGTGAGTATATGTGTGTGGCCGCCATCTACTTTGACCATGATACCTAAAGGGGAAGGGAAGCTAACATTACAAGCCGAGTGCTTCCGTCCCGGTGAGCTCCTTGACTCTTCCCGCAGCTCTGTGAGGCGCAGATCTCAGAGATGTGAAGGAATCAGCCAAGGTCACCAGACTGATGAGGGGCAGAGCGCAGATGTGAATCCAGGGTATCTGGCTTTAAGCCTGGTGTGTTTCCCATGACCCCTGCTGCCAAGAGTGACAGCCAGAGCCTGCCCCAGGTGTCTGGCAGGCCTTGGAGTGCTTCGCTTGGTGCCTGGCACAAAATCAATATTTATTGGATGGGATTGAGTTACATCCCAAATGAACCTAATGTTCATTAAGAGAGGATTTGATAAGTAAATGGACACTGTGAGATGTTAGAAGGAATGAGCTGTCTGTACTGATGTGGAATCTACTTTTAAATGAAAAGAGCACTTTAGAGACAAGGATGTGTAGTGTGATTCCTTTTTTTTTTTAGGAAGAGAAAGGTTTCCTTACCAATAGCCATCTCTGTTTATATATACAAAGAAACGAGTCTGCATAAAACAACTTCAAATTGATAATAATGCTTATCTCCAAGGGGGAGGATCATGGAGGACTTGCACATATTTTATAATAAGAAAAAACATGAGCTATTTCCATTTTGACAAAAGTAAAAAGGAAAGGGAGGAAAATAAAGACAAGACGTTTCTGGTGGCAACAGATCCCACCAGAATGGGGATGCGCCTCAGCCCTGGACTCTCCGCGTCAGCTCCCTCAGATGGCCCTGGGTCCCCAAAGGTGAAAAGGGTTAGTTCAGAGTCTTTGTCCACCACCCCCCCCCCACCTTTTACTATGAGATATTTTCATTTACAACAAACGTATGACCACACTACGAGGAAGCAGGACTCCTTGGGAAAATGTGCCCAGAACATCTCTTTGTATTGAGGTCAGGTCAAAAGTCCACAGTAAGTAATCTGAGGGGCGCACACCGGCTAAAGGTGAGGTGATTTGAGCACTAAAACACTGCAGTAGTTGAGACACACTTGTTATTCTGAAAACTGGTAGATAAAGGGAAAAAAGCAAGTAATCTTGCCTTTCCTGTATGAGCTGTACCTCATGGTGAGCAAATAGTCGATGAAAGTGTTATTTTTTATAGAAGAATTCCAGCTAACAAACACAGGAGGAAAAATAGAATTAGAAAAATCCCTGTTTCGCAACCCCTAATGACAGCGTGGGTCTAAGCAACGCTCATCACTGGCTGTGGAAACATTCGGGTCAGATCCTGAAGGGAAGCCTGTCACGGGTAGATGAGGCTGACAACTCCAGAACCCTCTCACCAGTCCCAACACGACAAACAGAGAGGACCAGGTCATCTGCCACCTGACGGGACACAATGGGATGCACCCAACACCATCTAGGAAATATTCTTGCCACAAAATCAGAGTTCTGGATCTAACTACCACTTTACAGGAAAGATGGGCTCAGAGAATCATGTTACGCGACACCTTTGGATTTCAACCAGCAAAATTCAGAGTGTGGTAAATGCTACAGATGAAAAGAGACATGAGACATTTTAAATAAATGCAATTTGTGGACTTTGAATCCTGATACAAACGAATCAACTGTAAAAATGAGCAAACATTTATGAGATAATAGGGAACATTCAAACACTGACTGCATATTTAAGAATATTAGAAGGATTTATGGACAAACCCTTGATGTGATGATTTATGATATGATGCTAAGGATTTGCTTCAAAATAATCCAGGCATGTGGGGCTGGAGCGAGGAGAGGTGTAGAGCAGATAAAACAGGCCTGGCCATGTCTGGGTGGGTTCTGAAAGCTGGGTGGGGTGCACAGGGATTTATTGTTCTAGAATCTCTGCTTGTGCACGTTTGGAGATTTCCATAATAAAATATTAGCCAAAAGCCATAAAAGGTATGGGCATACAACTTAATTCTTCCATCATGATGGTGGTGGAGGTGGTATGTATGTTGGTATGTGTAAAGTATGTGTGAGTGTGTGTGTGAGTGTGTGTGTTCTCATGCTCTGTTTGGTCCTAATTCCAGTTGCAGCTTTGGGACAATTATATCCGATTGAAAAAGACTATTTGACAGCTGTGAAGAATGCCACAACCTAATAGGCCCAGCTGGATTTCCAAGGGGTGTCAGGCAGGCAGGCACAGACATAAGGCCCCTACTTAGGGGACTGCTGGCGCCAGCCCCACAAGGTTATTCCCACGGTCAAAGACAGAGTAAAACTGTCTAATGAAGACATCGCCCAGGATCCAGAGAGGCCCAGCTGGAGGCTGGATGTCAAGACCTTGAAAGCCACTGCTGCAGAACTTCATTCCATCCACGAAGTCCTAGGGTTGGAAAGAAGAATGTAAGTTACACAGAGGGGAAGAAGGAAGTGGTGCTGCCTAGAGGCTGTACTGTGTGGTGGTGGTGGCTATACCGAATGATCTTGGACAGCTGTTCACAATTTTGGATGATTGGTTCTTCCTCCCACTTCACACACCTCTACCTGTCTACTCAACAAAGTGTTTGCACAATTTCATATATGCGCACCTGGGCTTCTAGGTTCTACGATTTTGAGAATCGCTCATCTATTATACAGCCCCATCCCCCACCACCATGTTACAATTGGGAAAACTGAAGCCTTGTTGCATGGCTGGACGAGCAAAAGGTTTGGCATTAGAAGATCTTGGCTTCAATTCTGATTTCTCCAGTTTCTTGAGAAACTCAACTCAATTTTGTTAAGGGAGAGAAATTGTTCTATAAGTGGCTAGCCACTGCTATTTTCTTGTTGGTGTTCTGAGAAGAGTCATTTGAGTGGCTCCTTTTAGGTGTGTGGCAAGTAGGCACCATTGTTCCGTGAGAAGAGTGTAACCTCCCTCAACCTTATGTTTTAGTTTGGCAAACTTGGGGTCTAACAGGCACGTGTGGTCTTTCTAAGACCATTTGAAATTTGAGGTTGCCGGGAAAATTTGCAGAGGGCTTAAAGAGCCTTCTTGAGAGAAAGGGGTAAAAATGCAAAGTCGTTACAGCATTCTTGGTGGACTGAGGTGGCCCTGACCGAAATCTGCCGGCAGAAAAGGACACTGGCACCATATTGGGCACAGGGAAGGGTGTGGGGTGAGCAGGACTCACAGAGCATGAAGGTGGGAGCGTGTGGGTGCTGGGCTGGTGAAGGTGTACAGACTGGTGAACTTGGCACAGGTGAAATGTCTAGCTTGTCCTCAGTATGGTGTTCACAGTGGCAGCTTCAGAATTCCCTTTTTGGAAGAGCTTAAGGGACTTGACATGAAGCTGTGTTTTAAAGCAAAACCTCTGTTTTCACGTGCATTGTCTGTTTCTATTTGGCGGCTTTGGGAAGGGGTTAATGTAGATCGAGGCGTGGGGGTAGGTAAATCCCCAATGCCCGCGGTCCACACCTTAGCGCCTCCATTCTGGCACAGTCACCTTGACGCTGTGAGTGACTCTGGGGGTAAGTTAGTGCGTTCAAGTGTGTTGCCAAAGAGCCGTGATACTGCAAATTCGGGCCAACTGTGGTGTGAAGTGATCATAGGTTTCCAAAACATCCAGGAGTTCCCTTTCTACCTCTCCCTCCAGACTTAACGAATCTACTGCAACAAGACATTTTCTTGTTTGAGGAGAATGTGAATTTGAATGTTAGAAGATAAAAACCTTATTCTGTAACCCCTCTCCCCAAGCAGCTCATATCTTGAATCATTTAACTCTCTGAGTCTCAATATCCTCATCTGTTAAACGGGACAGTAACATTCCCAGTCTGACTTGATAGTTGAGAGGATTAAACTTTGTCAGTTGCAAAGTCCTACACGACAATGTCAGAAAACCTCAGTCAATGGCTTGTCCAAGGTTTGCTGCTGCTTCGTGGCTGAACAGGGGATGGCAGAACATGGCGGACCACGGGCAGCTGCGTCCCTCCCAGAGGGAAGGCCACTTCAGTGCAGGATAAGATGGGAGGAGGGCTTGGGGTAAACGCAGCCTGAGTGCAGGCGACTGTTGGAAAAGGGGAAGTGGCAGGCGGGTAGGGGTGGCCCTGTGACTTGCAGAATTAGGAAACAGTTCTTACCAGCAGGGTGTAGGCAGTTGGTTGGAGGGTGTAGGGAATTCCATTGATGGTGAAGGTGACATCCGGCATGACATTGAGATTGACACACTCCACAGCATACTAAAACACAGCACGGAGGATCCAGTTAGAGTCCTCGCATCTCCCAAGAGAAGGCCTAGCTCCCCTGCTCCCACCTGGTCCCCACCCCCAGCAGGCACTCACTTCTCCATCCACGGGCTCTGCCCCAATGGCCTCCTGCAGCTGCTTGATCTTGTCCGAGGGGCCTGTGATGAGGGAGGTCCCTGTGTCCACAATGGCCTGGCAGCCCTCGGAGCAGAACATCACGGTGCCCCCCACCTGGATTCTGAAGGCAAAGGAAGCATTGTCAGCCCCCTGCCTCTCCCGTCCCACTTCCTCCCAGCCCGAGGCTTCCCCTGGCTCCCAGCAGCTCCCACTCTCTGCTGGGCTCTCTAACATGTTCAAGCACATTAATGATTTCCATTTTGGTCTCCCTCACCACATGTGTTTCTCAATTTTTTTTTGACTGAGATCCATAGCGAGAAATACACTTCTTCACCCAGCATATACACACACATGCAAAAATTAAAAATTTCATGAAACAATGCTTCACCTTAATATGTGAAGCGCATGCTGATATTTTCTATTTTCTTCCATTTCACTCAAAACTATAGGTCTTCTCCTAAAATGATGTCATGACCCATAAATGGGTAAATCCCTACAGTTTGAAAAACACTCGGTAGACAGTGAACATTGGAGGCGTTTTTGCTCTTGTATCCCTAGTGCCCAGCCCACGCCTGGCCCCTTGCAGGAACGTCTTCTTGGCTGAATTGAAACTTGAATTACATGTCTTTGCGTTCCTGCCTTGTGTAGTACAGCGCTAGCCGATTGGCAGGCATCTAGCCCCACTTCCCCAGTGCTCCATGTCTCTGTCTCTCTCTCTGTACATATTCATCAAGGCTCAACCAACGCCATTCCTCCCTGAAACCCTTGAGGAGGTCTTAGATAGAAGCTGTCTTGCCCATCTGCTGGGCCACTTTGGTGGCCCACCTCACGGAACCCCAACCACCTTCCACTTACATGGTAGTAGTTTGTGTGTATGTCTCATCTTCTGTACTTGCTTCGCGAAGACAAAATCTGAGTCCAGCTCACTTTTGCACCCCCACGTCACTCAGCCTTAGCCTTGTGTATTAATTAGTGTTGAATGAACAACGAGTAGTTGACTGTGTGAGTGTTTGTCCGTCGAATTGAGGGCGCACCACATGTACAAGGAAGGAAGCTGAGAGGTGGAACCGCATGCCTGCCGCCCTGCTTACTGAGGCCACTTCCCGCCCTTCTGCTCAGCGGCTCCACACCTCACACAGCAAGATCCCGGCTGTGGGATAACTCAGTGTGAATCCCACTTGAGTTACGCCTGTTCTGAGTTCTTCCCTCAGACCACAGCCGCTTTGTGGAGGATACTCACGCGTCCAGTGCAATCTGCCAGTAGCCTTGCTTGGTGACCGGAACCCAGTTCAGACTCCCAGAGAAGTGGGAGTGGTCATAGCCTCCGAAAATCAGCTCGCTCCCCGCACCGCCTTCTGGGTCACTACATGGGAAGAAAGGCCGATTGTCAAGGAAGGCACCTAACAGGATTCTGGGGAAATAGGACATAAAACTGATTCATTTTCAGAGGAAAAGGATCAGAAAAATATGAAACATTGGGTACTGCAAGGCAGGACAGTAAAGGGGAAGGGAGCCGGATGTCTGTGGGCATCTGAGGAAACCGGTTTTAGAGAGGCGAGGGGGAAAGAACTAACTGTTGATGGCCTAGATGCAAGGCACTGGCTAGGAATTTTACCTGCCTAATCTTACTTAATTCTTCCATCAACCTAGTGTCATCCTCAACCTAGGGAGATGAAGCAACCTAAGTGGTAGGATTTAAATCCAGGTCAACCTGACTGCAAAGCCTTTGTTGTTTCCCATCACAACTCACGTCTTCCCAGGCTGGAAGGGAGCAGGAAGCTGTGAGGGGGCAAGTGGAGGGGTCCGGACAACCTGCCCTCTTACTCACTCGCCCAGGCCTGGTCCCACTGCAGCCACACTAGCGAGGAAGCAGCGTCATAGAGGAAATTCAAGACTCACCACATGGGAGAGGAGAATGAGGGAAAGGGGCTTATGCTAAAACAGGGTAACCTCAGGCCAAGTCTCACTGGGAATGAGTCAGAGAGGTAAGAAATCTCCTTCCTGTGTAGGAGGAGGGTGGGATGACCCTCCCAGGACTCCAGGCAAGAGTGCCCAGAGGCAGGCAAGCCTCAAGACCTTTTCCAACTACAGCACGCAATTTTTTTAATTGTATAAATTGGTAAAATACACATAACATAATATTTACCATCTTAACCGTGTACAGTTCAGTAGTATTAAGCATATTCATATTGTTGCGTAACCAATCTCCAGAACCATTTTACCCTGTGAAACCAAAACTCTATATGCATTCAATAACTTCCTCTTTCCCCCTCCTCCAGCCCCTGGCACCCACCGTTCTACTCTCTGTCTCTGTGAACTTGACTACTCTAGTACCTCATATAAGTGAAATCAGACAGTATTTGTCTTTTTGTGACAGCCTTGTTTCACTCAACATAATGTCCTCAAGGTTCAGCCATGTGTAGCATGTGTTAGAATCTCCCTCCTTTTCAAGACTGAGTAATATTCTACTGTATATGTATGTATATTTTGTTTATCCATCCATTAACATGCAATTATTTTATTGTCAGCTTACTTTTAAATTTTTTTCCTGTCTCTCCCCGCCCAGCCCCGGAATTAAGCTTCTTGAAGGCAGGGGCTGTCTTTCTTGTTTCACTGTGCTACCAGTGCCTAGCAGCATGCTCAGTACATAACAGGGGCTCGAGAAGTATTTGTTCACTGCATAAATGGACATCCGATTCCAGAGATTCCTTAAATTAGTCCAACGTGGCACAGTTTATAAAGTGCTTCACCCAGCGACTTTATGAGGCAAACCCCATTTCTTCAATATTCAGAGAGGTTAAGCGTTTTGCCCAAGATCACACAGCTGGTCAAAGGCCAAGCAAGAGATCCACCCCTGTGTGTGACTGCTAAGTCTCGTGCTCTTTCAGCTGCATCATGTTGTCTCCCTGTAGTCATAACTGACCTCAACCTGGCAGGCTTGACGGGCCTTACCTGCTCATGTAGACGGAAAACATGGGCACCTCCACCAGGTTCTGGGCCATCATGCTGTCAAACACTGGAGTCACCCCTCCCACAGCCAAGGACGGGTATCCCAGGCCCAGAATTCCATCAAACTCTGCGTCCACAAAGGTCTGGCCAGGCTCTGTGACGCTCTCTCCAAATTGTTGGCCGACTACAGTCAGTCCTTCCACCTGGTGGGAGAAAGCCCGAAGGAAAATTGCACAGGACATCTTTGGCAAAGGGTCTCAGATTCCCGGATTCTTCCTCTGGCTTGAATCTAATTCTTCCCCTACTCAACTTTCCTCGATGAAACGGGCACAATGAATTTTGCCATATTCCCACCCACTTAATTTTTTTTTTTGCTGAGGAAGATTAGCCCTGAGCTAACAGCTGTGCCCATCTTCCTCTATTTTGTATGTGGGACACCGTCACAGCATGGCTTGATGAGTAGTGAGTAGGTCCACGCTTGGGATCGGAACCTGTGAACCTTGGGCGGCTGAAGCGGCGTGTGCAAACTTAATTAACCACTACGCCGTGGGCCAGCCCCCACTTAATTCTTTTATGTTAACTTTTTTATTGAAGTATAATACAGAAATCATAAGTGTACTGCTCACTGAGTTTTCACAAACTGCACACAGCCATGTAAGCAAGCTCTCAAACCTAGAAAGAGGACATTCAAGCCCCCAGAAGCCCCTCCCTGCGCCCTGCCAATCCCTGCAGTCCTCCAGAGTAATCAGTCTCCTGACTGCCAACAGCGTTACTAGCTTTGCTGTTTTTGAATTTTACATAAGTGGAATCATACAGTATGAATTCTTTTGTATCTGGCTTCTGTCACTCAATGTTATGGTTACTGCATGGTGTTTCAATTTGTTCGTTAGGATTCCATGGGATGAATATATCGTCATTATTTATCCATTCTACCACTGATGGATATTTGGGTTGTTTCCTGTCTTTGACTTTTGCTAATAGTGCTGCTTTAACATGCCTCTTGGTGAACACATGTACATGTTTCTGCTGGATGGATGTGCCTAGGAATAAAATTGCTAGATCGTAGGGTATGCAAATGTTTCGCTTGAGTAAATACTGACAAAGAGTTTTCCAAAGTGATGGTACCAATTGATGTTTTCAGTACCAATGTTTTGCGAGCTCCAGTTGATCCACATCCTCACCAACACTGAGTATTGCCTATCTTTTCCATTTTAGTCTGCTAGTGGACATGCGGTGGGTTACACTGTGATTTTAGTTTGTATTTCCTGATGAGTAATGAAAGTGAATATTTAGATACCCCCTTTTGTGAAGCGGGTTGTCTGCATTTTTCCTACTGACTGGCGGGAGTTCTGTATTGTGGAATCAAGTCCTTGTTGGATATATGTATTACAAATAACTTCTCCCAAACTGTGGCTGGTGTTTTTACTTTTCAACAGTGTTTTTTGATGAACAGAAGGTGTGAATATCAATGTAATCAAATATATCCATTTTTTCCCTTATAATTAGTGGTTTTTGTAACTTGTTTCAGAAATTTTTGCCTACCTTAAGGTTATGAAGACATTTTTCTATGTTTTCTTCTAAAAGTTTTATTGCTTTACTTTTCACATTTATATCTATAATCTATCTGAAGTTCGGTAATGTGTGAGGTAGGAGTCAACATTCTTTTCCTTTTTTACTATATGGATATCCAAATGACCTAGTACCACTTAAATACACCATCATTTCTTCCACTGCACTGCAGTGGAAGTCAGGTGACTGTGTGAGTAGTTTCTGAATTTTCTCTTCTGTTCCATTTGTCTATTTACTTATCCTGTGCCAATACCACGCTATCTAAATTACTATAGCTTTATAACATCTTAATATTTAGCAGTGTTTTCCTTCATCTAAATAATTTTAGAATTAGCTTGTCATATAAATTTTAGAATTTTACAATTAGCTAATAAAAATTGCTGTTATTTTGATTGAGGTAACATTGAATCTATAGATTGATTTGGAAAAATTTGACTTATTTATAATACTGAGTCCTGAGCATGGTTTATCTTTCACTTTGTGTAAATCTTCCTTAATTTCACTCAATAATGTTTTGCAGTTTTTAGAGTCAAGTCTTGCACATTTTTTGTTAAATTTACTTCTAGGTATTTGATTTTTTTTTTTAAGTGAACTTTTTTTTTTTTAATACTTTCCATGGAATGTATTTCTTTTTTTTTTTTTTGAGGAAGATTGGCCCTGAGCTAGCATCTGTTGCCAATCTTCCTGCTTTTTTCCTTTTTTCTCCCCAAAGCCCCAGTAGATAGCTGTATGTCATAGTTGTACATCCTTCTAGTTGCTGTATGTGGGACGCTGCCTCAGCATGGCCTGAAGAGCGGTGAGTAGGTCCGCGTCCAGGATCCGAACCAGTGAGTCCAGGCTGCTGAAGCGGAGCGTGTGCACTTAACTGCTACATCACCGGGCCGGCCCCCACGTATTAGATGTTTTTGGTGTTGTTACAAATAATGTCATTAAAAATCTATTTTCCATTTGTTTTTCCTCATATATAGAAGTTCAAATGATTTTTGTGTGTTGATCTAGTATCTGGCAACCTTGCTAAATTCACTTATTAACCCCAATAGTTTGTCTGTAGATATTTTTGGATTTTCTACATATATAATCTTGTCATATGTGAATAATGACCGTGTTATTTCTTCTTTTAAAATCCTAAAGCCCTTAATTTCTTTTTTCTTGCCTTATTGCACTGAGGGTGAGCATCCTTGTCTCATTCTTGTTCTCAGGGAAAAGGCTAAGTGACTAAGTATGAAGTTCGCTGTGGGCTTCTTTGTAGATATTTTTTATCAGATTAAGGAAGTTACTTTGCATTCCTAGTTTTCTAAGAGTTTTTTTAAGCCATGAGTAGGTGTTGAATTTTATCAATAGAGATGACTATACAGTTTTCTCCTCTTACTGTCTCAGGTGATAAATTCCTGCAAAAAAACAACTCTTGATTGGGATGTCTTATCCTTTTATTTATCACAAGATTTTATTTGCTAATATTCTGTTTAGAATTTTGCATCTACATTCACAAGAAAGAGATTGGTCTGTAATTTTCATTTTTTATAATGTCCTTTTCAAATTTGTTGTTAAATTTATGCTGGCCACATAAAATGAGTTATGAAGTATTCCTTCTTTATCAATTATCTGGAAGAGTTTGTGCAGGATTGGTGCTATTTCTTCCTTAAATGTTGGAAGAATTTACCAGTGCTACCTGGACCCAGAGTTTTCTTTGTGGAAAGGTTTTTAATAATGGAGTCAATACGTAAATAGATATTGGAGTCTTCATAGTTTCTAATTTTTTCTTGTGTCAGTTTTGCCATGCTGTATTTCTCAAAGCATTTGCCAATTTTTAAAAAAATTGTTAAATTTATCAATGTAAAATTATTCTTAGGGCCGGCCTTGTGGTATAGTGGTTAAGTTTGCACGCTCCACTTTGGCGGCCCAGGGTTCATGGGTTCAGATCCCAGGCGCGGACATACTCACTACACATCAGCCATGCTGTGGCAGGCATCCCACATGTAAAATAGAGGAAGATGGGCACAGATGTTAGCTCAGGGCCAATCTTCCTCAGCAAAAAGTAAAATAAAAAAATTCTTCTTGATATCCTCTTATCATTTTAGTCTCTGCAGGGTCTTCAGTAATGTATCATTTTTCATTTCTAATGTTAAGTTGTATTTTTTTTCTTTTTTCTTGATTAGTTTGCTAGCAGTTTACCAATTTTATCAATCTTTGTAAGGAGTTAATTCTTGGCTTTGTTGATTTTTCTCTATTGTGCGACTTTTCTATTTTATCGATGTCCTATTCTGGTATGTATTATTTCCTTCCTTCTACTTTCTTTGGGTTTGATTTGCTGTTGTTTATTTGTGCTTTGCTTGTTTTCTGGTTGTTTATTTGTTGCTTGAAATAGACGCTTAGATCATTGACTTTCCGCTTTTCTAGTCTATGCAGTCCAGGCTGTTGTTATCTCCTAAGGACTGCAGTAGCTGCCTCCACAAATTTTGGCACATCATATCTTCATTATCTGTGTCAGTCAGGGTTTGATAAGAGAAGCAGAGCCATTAGGAGCTATATATGAAAAGGATTGTATTCCAGACAGTTGACTATATGCATCTGTAGGTGCTGGGTGAACAGTGCCTGTGGGGATGCTGCTTCTGTCCTGGTGCGGCAGCCTGGAGTCTGCAGTTTTGGCAGTCAGCAAGGGAAGACAGGCGCCAAGTGGGAGAAGAGGGTGAATTGGAACTTCGAGGTTGAGGGTGGACTGGAACCCTCACTGTCCTCTCACTGCCTCTAAGCCTCAGTGACAGGGTGTTCTGAAGCACAAGTTGACACTGTTTGTCACAGAGTTAAATGTGCAGCTAGCCTGCGAGCCAGGAAACCTGAAGGAGGAACCAGCTGCAGCCGGAGTGGCCGTGGGCTTGGCTGCCGCCCCACACCGCCCAGGTGAGCCCGCAGATGAGCAGCAAGCTAAAGGCTATGATTCCCCTTTCCATGCCAATTTCAGTCCCTTCTCTGCTTCCCAGAGGTAATGATGATGATCAGTCTGGGATGTAGCCTTCTAAATAGTTATTTGTACTTGGACATATGTTCTAATAGAAAATACAGTATGTTGTTTATCTGTATGTGATATTTTTACAGAGATGGTGTGTGTTTTGCTCCTGGCATTTTTTCAGTCAATAATATGTCCTACTCCACCCACTTTAAAGGGATGTCGATGAAGCCTGGGCCCTCCTGGCCTTGGGACCACCCCAAAACTGGAACGATGCTTGTCAGGAGTGGGTCAGCCTCTGTTTCCCCAATGGCCTGGGCATGCACTGCTGCCCATAAACCTGGAGGGGCAGGACCGGGGCTCTCCTGCTTCCCTGTCCCCACACTGGCCGGGTTTCCACAGCTGTAGGACCCAGAGGACCTGTGGTCAGAGGGAGGTTAAGGAGCAGCGCGCTAGCTCCACCCCGAGCGCAGTGCTCACCTTGGGCCTCTGTTTTGACAACTGGGATTCCCGTTGTCTCTGTGATTGCCCCCCACCTCCTACCTTGTCGCCTTATTTCCATAACTGAGTTCCCACCTTGACCCCTGCCTTGGACTTCTTTATCCTTCAAGATGGAGGCCCGGTGCTGTTTCCTCAGTGCTCCTGGGGCCTGGAGAGCCAGCTGTGAACCTCGCCACCAGGATTGCAGCCCTGTGCACCATTTCCCTGCGCGAGTTCCCCTTGCTGCCTCCCTAGGACCAGCACACTGAGCAGACTGACCCGTTGCCACCGCCTCAGGCAGGGAGTGCTACCAGGCCTCCCCCTTTCCCTAGAAGCCGGCTCCTTGTTTCTACCTCTTCCTAATGCAGATCTGAAACCACTCCTCTAAGAGCTCTGAGCAATGTTCTGTCTCCCAAGTCTCTGACCAAGAGAGAAAAAAATGAAAGAATCGTACTCACAGAGACTTGGTCGGCTCCGATGATTCCGGACATGCTCCCAGTCCCATACTGAATGGAGAAGTGACTCCCCACCACGCTGTAGGTGCTGGACTGGGAGGGGTAGAACCTGGTGTGTGTCTCTGGAAAGCAAGGATGCTGCTCACGCCTGGGCCTTCAGCTCACTGCCTTCATCCCTGCCCAACATCCAGAGACGCAGCGTCACTTCCCTCAACTCCCAGCCTTGAGTGGGGGCTTCTGGAAAGGTAGATCACGGCCCTCCCTATCGGGCTACTACATTCCTCTCTAGCCATATGTGGTGACCTAACGGGGACTAAAGAGTTGTCCCTGGGCAAGCACGACTGCCCACAGTGACCGCATGAGGCATACCAAGATAAGTGCCACGTTTCAGGCGCCAGCCACAGTCTCTGCCAACCAGTGTGGGTCAGAGCCTGGCCTTCAAAAGAAACTCAGGAATAAACAGTTGCCATCCAAGGAAATTACTCTCAACTCCTCGCCTAACCTGTGGACACCTAGTCTTGGGGTTTCCTGAGACATTCTGTCTCCAGAACTTGTCCTGCATAGACTAAGGCATCTTTCCTTAGCTCTTCCTTTTCCAATCTTCACAAACACCTCTGAGTTACCTCTGGCCAAAGGGACCCACCCATACATTGTGCCCCACCATCCCCACCTCTGATATTCAGGGAGGTAGGCCACTAAGCCTCCTTGAAGCAGGTGAACGGTGCACTAGAACCCCACCCACGTACCTGCCCAGGAATAGCCATCTGAATGGAACTTTCCCCTGCATTCTTTTGGGTGTTCCAAGGGGAGTGAGTCATCATGTAGTCTAAGATTTGTATTTTTGACGGCTGAGTTTCCCCCTATTAATTCTAGTTAGTATGAAAGTTGCTAGCTTGGATAGCAGTCAAATTTTGGCTCTCTCCCAGGCCCAGCCCTGTTTCCGCTGTAGGCAGTCCCAGGGCAGACTCAGAGGTGGAGGGGGAAGCTGGTGTGGCAAGGCTGGCCAGTTTCTGGAGCCCAAGCCCCCCGCCCCCAGAGTGCCAGGCCCTGGCTCCCAAGACTGGCCCCCAGCCTTTTCCCGCTAGGGCTCTTGGCCCCACTTACTGCAGGCCGAGCTGGTGCAGTACACAGAGGGGACCCAGAGGTTGGAGGAGCCAGTGTCAAATATGACGGTGAAGTTCTGCGGTGGGGAGCCAATGGAGATAGTGCCAAAGTATTCCATCTACAGGTCAGGGAGGGAAGGGAGCAGAGCATGGGTGGTAGGGCGGGCTAAGGGTGCTCACCAGGGGACTCAGGGAGAGCTCCCTGGGGACAGAGCCTGGGCTAGCACAGACTGGAGCTTACAGAGCATGGAAAGTGGCAATAAAAGGTAAGAGAAGCAGAGGGAGGGCCACAAGGGAGTAAATCAAATCAAGCCCCCGCGGCCTTGTTAGCGTCCACTTATGTTATCCTGATTCTCATAATAACACTGTGAGCAAGGCAGAGGAGGCAGTAATGCCTCTGTTATGCAATCAGGGAATGGGGGCTGGGAGAGGTTAAGTCATTTGCCCGAGGACACACAGCTGAGAGCAGAAGCAGGGCCCTTCCATCTGGGATGCTTGCCCTTTCCTCCCCCAGAGAGTGCTACACATTCAGGCACTGGCTATGCCCCAGGCCAAGCCTTCCTCCCTAGTCCCTGCCCCAGGATGCCTCACATCCAAGTAGTTGATGAGGGGCTCATTGGCACTCTGGTCCATCGTGCAGGACTCAGTGAACTGGATCATGTCAAAATTCTTGGATTTCCAGAACTCAGAGAGCTGGCCCCGTGCCCGCAGCTTCTTCCGGAGGGACGGATGCCTCCTGAGTGGCACCCTGAGGACAAAGCCCATGTGAGGAGGAGATGCATTTCTACCTCCCTCTGACCCTCCCCTCTTCCCACTCCATTTTTCCAGAGGTTAACTAGGGAGTTACAGGAAGGGATGTGCAAGTGCATGCCAGGGTTTGGTCAGAATCAGCGCCCTCTCAGCCCCCAGCCTGTCCAGTCTTGTCTCTGCCCCTGTAGACTCTTAGAATCTTAGACATGAAATGCCATCCCTCCCGAAGATGGGCTCTTTGAGATCTTTCAGGAAAACGGAGGGTGTGGGATGGTCTGCAGTTTTCCATGAACCTCAGGTGGGGCTGATTTAAAGGGACAGAAAAACTCCTGGGGGCAGCCATGGTCAGTCCCTTGGGCAAGTACTCAGGTCCTTGGGGCTACAAGCCATAGCTGCAGGCTCCTACTCTTTCCAACATGAAAAAGTCCCCGGGGCTTGGGCAGGCAGCTCCAACAAAGGTGGAGGCAGAGGGATGGCCTGTTGTGGGCTGGAGATTGAGGCCATACTCAAGGCGGCCACGTGGTAAACCTTTCCCAAGCCCTCAGGTTCTTTTCCTCTTCATTTCCCCGTCAGCTTTCCTCTCCCAGAGCAGCCCTAAGCTTGAAGACAGAGCGCTGCCCAGCTGGACACGGTACAGAGGACATGGCCTCACCTGTGGAGTGCTCCTTGGGCCTGCCCCAGGTCCAGGAGCACCAGCAGCAACAGAACGAGCCTCTTCATTGTGGGCGCAACCAGCAGCTTCGTCGTCGCTCTGCTGCGGACTTCCTTGCGCCTTCCTTTCTCCTGTCCCACAGGGCAGTGGGAACCCAGTCTCCCTCACTCTCAGACCTGCCCTGCCCAGCCCAGTCTGAGGACCCAACGATAAGGCCTGGAGTCAACAGCCAGGCCCAGAGTAAACACAGCATGTGTAATAGGGCGTTCCCTCTCTACCCCTCGGCTCCTTTCCCTCCTGCAAGGGGGTGTGGGTCTGAGTGGGACCTGGAGGTCTAGGCATCCTTGCAGGTCAGAAGGTAGTCCAAGGCTCAGCTTCTCCCAGAGCCTTTGTTGCCCTACCCCGACCCCAAGAAATGCTGTATTAATTAATGGAGAGAGCAACGTGCTCCTGGACACTGGGAACCACGCTACTGACTTGTTACCACCAGCGGTCTGGCTGAAGACTCCTGAGGGGCGGAAGCTCAGTTGTCACATGTGGGGCAGGATTCTAACTCAAAACATTAATCGGTTTGTTCTCTCTGTATTTCCTATTCTCTCCTCATTCCCTGGGGAGCCCCAAGGGCACTTTATCTTCCCTCAGCCCACTTTGAAGCAGAAGCCAACATTCTCTAAAGCCCCTGAAACGGGAAGATTTGGCTGTGGATCGTGGAGCCAGTTTTTCTGATCCCGAGGACTTGATGAATCCAGGCCTGGGGGTGGGGAGGTTCGGGGGAGAACACAGAGGCAGCTCTGGAGGGCCGGGGGATGATGGGGGGTGGGGGTTGTTCTGGGAGCAGATGCCCGTGTTAGTTTGCTACGGCTGCCGTAACAATTTATCATGAACGGAGAGGCTTAACAGAGCTTTATTTTCTCGTGCTTTTGGAGACTAGAAGTCTAAGAGTAAGGTACAGGCAGGGTTGGTTTCTCCTGAGGCCTCTTTCCTTGGCTGTAGATGGCCGCCTTCTCCCTCGACGTAGTTTTCCCTCTGTGTGTATCTGGTTCCTAATTTCCTCTTCTTGTAAGGACACTAGTCAAATTGGATCAAGGCCCACCCTAACGACCTCACTTTAACTTAATTACCTCTTTAAAGACTTGAGCTTCAAATGCAGTCGTATTCTGAGGTGCTGGGGGTTAAGACCTCAACATGCGAATGTTGGGGGCACACAATTCAGCCTATAACAGTACCCAAAGGCAGCAGGATCCTCTGTCTGTCAAGTGGGACTCAGGCAAGGGTAGAGGGTGGTGAGACTCAGCGCTCAGTTACCCAAGCACACGTAGTTATCATCATCAACCCATCCCTGCGGTCATCACACCTCCCAAACGGGGGGGGCTTTATGGCCTTGAGTGGAGATGGAGGGTGACAGGAAAGAACATCTTCCCCTGACCCTGACCCAAGGCGATGGAACTCTCTGAGCCAGGGCAGCAAAGGCCACCATCACTGTCACACATGCCAATGCTTCCCTGCTGTGGAGCAGGAGGTAGGGGGCCTGGGTTTATGTCGGCTCTGCTCTGACCAGCCAGTGATCTTAACTGCCACTGTGGGCTCTGCTTTCCATCTCTGAAGCCTAAGAAGCAGACAAACTGGAGTTTGGAGCTAAGTTGAGCCCTGCTTTGGGCTCCAAAAATGTTCAAAAGGACATCAAAAGGACTTGGGGAACAGCCCGGACCCTTGACCCCTGACCCCAAGAGAACAAAGCTTCCTCAGGATTTACTCACTTTGCAGGAGTCCTTCTCTTTGACTTTTCATTGGGGAGAGAGGTCTGCCCCAGAAGGGCGGTGTGACTGGAAGTGGCTGGGAATCAAGGTACTTCGTTTTAGCATTAAGCTCTGCCATGGTTTGCCCATGATTGCCCAGCCACTAGGTATCTTAGTTTGGCCACCTGCCAAATCCTCTACCTACATCAGTGAGTTTTAAGGAGGATTAAAAATACACAAAATAAGGTATGTGGAAGTACTTGGAAAACTGTAACGTATCGTTGGGACTGAAGGGGGTGACTATGAAAACCTTGCACTGGAAGACTTCCTCTAGACCATCAAGGCAAGCCCACTTACAGAGCAAATGAGAACACTGAGGTGCAGAGAGGCAAGACGGCCGGCCCAAGAGCCTCTGGTTCATTTGGTGGCAGAGCTGGGGTTAGGACCCAGGCCTGCTAGCTTCCAGCCCCCTGACCTTCTGCTACAGAATCGTCATCATGGTTGCCTCAACTCCTCCCTCCTCTCCCATCTTCCAGGCCAGTTCCCACATGCCCCTGCCTCCATTTATTGTGAGTGGAGGGTTTGGCTGGCTCAGACTAGAAAAAAAGCTGGTTGGTGTGAGCAGCTGTGGGCCACCCGGCTACCGACTAGAGCAGAGACAGTCTGGGTTGTCTGCGAGGAGCTCCAGGGTCTGGCAGGATTCAGAAAGTTTGACACAGCCTAAAGCCAGAAGCATGGGGACGTTTGTTGGGCCTAGTGGGTTCTGTTTTCTCTGGAAACACCAGGAGCCACACCTGCCCTGGCTGCAGACCACTGGCTCTTTCTGTGCTGGAACCAAATACTGCTGTGGACGATTTGAACACTTTCCCTGGGAGACAAAAGCCCTCAGGCACATGCGTGACAGCGTGTGGGTGTTCTTCAAGGAAAGGGAGAGGGAGGAGTATTCGGGTGAAATAGTACCACATGGGCAAAAACAGGGCCGAGTATATGTACTGACCCAGTGTCTTAGCACTGGGGGAGGGTCTCTGGAGAGAGATCCTCAGGGATGTGGATTGGGGGCTGGTTGGATGAGAGGTTTTGTCTGTTTCCAGAACATTGGAAAGCTGTTGGTGGTGACACTCTCTGATCAACTTCTCCTTTCTGGAGCTTCAGCTTTCAGAAGATAAACTAAGGATAAGAGAACGGTTGCTCAGTGGGAATCAGCTTTATCAGGGTCTGATAGCCCGAGAGACAGTGTGTCGATGTAAGACACGAACAGCTGCTTCCCCTTCTTGCTCAGCTGGCTCCTGATGGCAGGGAGCCAGCAATCCAGGACACGCTTGGCCCTGGCTCTGGCGACATCACCAGCTCAGCATGGACATGACCAATGGAAAATGTTCCAACCTCGTTTTGCTTGAAGTTGATGAATGAAGGAAAACCTGTGCTCTGTGTGGTACAGTAGAGAGAGGGCTGGGATGAGGTGCCTGGATCTAGTCTTGGCTCTGCCACTAACTGACCATATGACCTTGGATGAATCACTTTTCTCTGGATCTAGTTTTCTTGCCTGTACAACGAAGAGAGTGGATTGGGTGATAACAACAAGGAGCATTCTGGGGGCACAGGCTACATGCCAAGCCAAGCTGAGGGCCTTACAAGCCTTAGCTCATTCAACCCCCACACCAATCCTATCAGGTAGGTCTTAGTTTTAAGCCCATTTTACAGATGAGATAACTGCGGCACAGAGTGTTAAAGTGACTTGCATAAGGTGCTAGAGCCAGGATTCAAACCCGGGTTTACCTGACTTTAAAGTCAATGATCTATATTGGATGATCAGTAGGGTCTGACATTCGAGAATTTCTTCCTGGAAGAGAAAGACAGAGAGGGTGAAAGAGAGGAGGAGATGGGAAGAGAGGGACAGAGAATAATTTCCTGCATGGTGGAAAATTTGAGGCCTTTTATTGTGAAAAGAGAGAAGGGTATGTGTAGGGTGGAGTGTGGCGGTGAGCTGGTGATGAGAGATCTTGTCACGGCTTCTTTTTTGCAAATATTTTCTGTTTTGCCTTCAAGGAGCCCCTCAGCAAGGATCATTATTGTAGTGCCGACAGGTGCAAAAATCCCCCCATGCACCCCTCTGCTAGTTACCTCCCACCCAGACACTAAAATTTAAGGTGACTGAACTGTTTATTGCTGACAGAGAGCACCTGCGCTCAGCACTCCCTTCCCAGGGGCTTCCGCTGCTTCAGTTCAGCAAAGCCTCGTTTTCATGCAACTGCAGGTAAGAAAGATCCGATGTCTCCAGCAGCTCACCATGTCAGGAATTCAGTTAGAGTCATTTCCAAAACCACTGTCAACTCTATCAAGAAAATGCCTTTCAGACCAGAAACTGTTGCCGTACGGTCAGCAGAGGGCACGGGCACGGGGGCGTTTCTCACCTGAACACCGCATGTGTGTGTGCATGTGTCCCCGTACCTCTCAGCAGGAAAAGCAGTTCACGCCTTGGGCTTGCCAGAGAGCAGGACTTCGCCCTGACAGCCCCAGCTTCTGCGCTTGTTTCTGAGCCCAAGCAGGGGAAGCAGACACTCAGGGTTTGGATTCCAGCCCCGCCCCTTAGATGGGATGTGTGACGGCAGTGTTGTTTGGAGCATCAGACTCCTCTACTGTAGAAAAAGGAAGAATGATTTCCTTGCAGGATGATGTATACTCCTGTAATCCATAAACATAATAATCATAAATCATAAACATAACCACTGTACCCCTGAATCCATAAACAAAGAAGATGGCTCTACAATTTACAAGTTAAGAAAAAAATAGTGCAGGTCTCCTATATCCTCCACTGACTATTCCGCCTTGTAGGGTTGCGGAAGAGTTGTCTACTGAGTATGATTTTAAAAGCACCTCTGTTCCACCTGGCATCACCTTGCCTGAAATTCCGCATTGTCCAGTCATTCCCTAGAGTGAGGCATCATCCTCTTAGCACAGTGCCTAGAACCTAGCAAGCACTCAATAAATTTGCGCCACTATTTTTATTAATATTTTGTCCTTAAAAATGCAGACATCCCCGGGAAAGATGGCCCACTGAGTCATCAACTCCTCAGTGTGAATTAGTTTATCAGCAGGAACAGTTAAGAGAGACCTTAGGGTGGGGACAGGGGTGGGGTTGCAGAAAGGGAGAAAGAGTTTCCAAAAAATGGTAGGGAATCTAAGCCAATCTCGATTTGTGGTTTTGCTGAGACCCGCGCCTGCACAGCACGAAGAGCACTCTGCAAGCTGCATCAGCCATTGGCTTTTCATTTCGGGGAGGTATGAGTCTCCCTCTGAGCCCAGCCAAGCAGTGGAGGAAATGAAGAGGCTCTCAAGGGAGGGGCAAAGGAAAGCCCGGGGTAAGGCGGAGGGCAGCCGGCCCTGAGAGCAGCCGCCCCTTCAGCATGGAAGGTCTCTCCCGCTGCTGCTGCTGCTCGCCCAGGAGACAGGTAAATGGTTCCGAGTAGGGCTGAAACTTCGCTTTCTGTTTCTTCCCTACTTGTCTGGGATCTGGGCTCAGACAGTAGGAAGTGGGCACTATGCGGCCTAAAGGGATTGGAGAGCCAGGCCCCCCCTTCCCT